GAGTGCAAACGAGAACGGAAGAGACAGATAGAGTAGAGAGGATAGTGGATGGTGGATAGTGGATATTATACCCATACCCATACCCTAACCCCATAGCCAGGCAGGCAGGTCGTTAGCCGCTCTGATACCGAGACCTGGACGAACAGCGGGGAGTAAACGAAACCAGACTCAGGCCAAAAGGGACAGGCACAGACAGGAATGAAGGGACACTGAACATGGCCTCGAAAACGTTTTGCCAAATGCCTCGTAAATGACCTGATTGAAGGGACAATGATATCGGGCCCATAGCCTAGGCCCCGATGGACAGAACTACATAAACGATAATGTAGTTCCGCCAAACAAGGGCTCTGATAAATGAACGCAACGCAGATAAATATATTCAGAGCTAATGGATTTATAAAAGTCGAAAATGATTTCGTTTGGTGTGGAAAGTAGCCAATTATCTGCTCACAACTTTCAGCCAGCATCTTCCTCAACAGAAAACGATTTATTTGGATCACTTGTGGCAGCTACGAAATGAACTTCCACCGAGCAAAACAATCACTGCCACTGTCATTGCCGTTCACCTGGTCAAAATGCACTCTCTGCTTGGCCCCCAAAATGGGTCGCAGCCTGAAAAGTGAGAGGCCAAAACAAACACACACAGACACGTTAATTAATTGCCAAAACCGATGAAAGTAAAAAGCCAAAGAGAGAATTTGGGCTAACCCAGAAAGCAGAAAGCTGCTGCCCAAAAAAAAAAGGCAGAGCAGAGAGGAGAGGAGAGGAGAAGAGAAGTTGCGTGTGCGGTAAAAAATCACGGAGCCATGTCAATTTCAATGTCATTAAAATGAATTTCTTTTTAAATGCAGAAGCCGGGTAAGCTGGTAGCCGAGAGGAAACTACATACAAATTACTGGCCCGGCCTGGCCTGGCCCGACTCGGCCCTGACAATGCGGAAGTGCGGGGAGCAAGCAAATCGCATACTGCTACTCGTCTTGAGGGGCCGGCCACAGAGACCAGACCAGGGCAGACCAGGGCAGACCTGACAAATGATCCCCGACATTTTGGCTGGCATTCGAGCTTAATTCTTGTGCCATGCGCCATGCGCCCTCCATTAAATGGACCTGCAAATTACATGCTGCCCCCCCCGCCTTGGGAGGAGTGGAGCGTAGTCCTGCTGGACATTTGATTCATGGCCCGACAATTATACGTCATTGTAATTGAAATGCGAATGGAAATGGAAATGGTAATGGGACTAAAGATGGCGATGTGTATGGGTATGGATGGGGATGGAAATGCGTGCAACAAGTTTCTCGTTGCTGGAATAACCTTAGAATTAATTGCCTCACGTTTACGAAGCAAACAAAAAAATACAAAAAAAAAAACTCCCCAACTGGTTTCCCCCTTCCCTATGTCTGTGTGTGAGTGTGTGTATTTGTATCTAAACAAAAGGCCAATTGTTCAAGTTGAACCGAAAAACAAATTTCGGTTTTTGTCGAATTGGAGCCCATACAGCCCATACAGACACGACACGCACACACGTGACAATCACATGCCAGCGAGGACAAACTATTGATAGATGTAACAAATTTCCCCCCTCCTCCCACCCCTCTCTAGCTCTCTTTCAATTACAAAACCCGCCGCACAACAACAAAATTTCAACCAATTGTTGATTGCCTTACAACGAAACGAAACGGAGCGCTTCTTCTCACTTTTCCAGTTATTTTCGAATTTGGTGGCTAGTGATGAGGTCATAGAGGAGACACAGGAGTGGGGGAAGGGGGCTGCCTGTAAGCTCCATGGAATGTGCCCAACTCGCTTTACATTTCCATAGCTAATTATGCCAAAAGATTTGAGGCTCTTTCAAGTCGGATTTGGTCGTAAAAGCAAACAAAACTAGCAGATAGAGTGTTAGATACAAAGATACAATACACATTTTCAGCATTTCCATTTTGGGCAACACATCAGACCTGATCCAGCCGCAGTATCGCAGTATCTGTATCTGTATCTTGCGGGTCGTACAATGGGCTGACATCGAGCTGGAGACAAGCCCACACATCTGGCAGAGAGCTAGCTGGAGCTAGCTGACAAATTTATTGACTCGCCGCACGGAAAAGCTGCGCGCAGTTGACTTGGCATTGAAGTTCGTTCGAACTATCCGAACGTGTATCTCTATCTGTAGCTGTATCTGTAACTGGCGTGTGTATCTTTGCGTTTTTGTTTCTTGGTTCGTAGAATGCAGCAATTACAAATGTTTTAAGCGATTATTAGTTGAGAGAGGAACACACACAGCAGAAACTGCAAGGGAAAGCAGAAGGCGCACAAAAAGAATGCAATGGCAACCAGATGGGATCGAAGGGAGCAGAAACACAGATGGTGAGTGAGAAGAGAGGAGAGCACAGCTTGATGCCGGTAAGAGCTACATAGCTATCCCCCTGCCTCTCTCTCTCTCACTGTCTATCTCTCTGGAGCGCAGTCAGCCGGCAAACCGCTTGCGTTTTTGGCCTGGCCTCAGTCTCAATGTATCTCAAAGATGCATGTGTTTCGCTCATGTATCTAACTATCTTTGCCATCTATATTCAGCCGGCTACACCCATACACACAGTTGCATCTGTATCTGTAGCTGTAGCTGTCTCTGTATCTGCATCTGTGACTGTATGTCCGACTTATGACGCAATACAAAAAGTTCATCTGATCTTGCTGCTCTCTTTCTACTAGTATGCCGATGTGTTCTCTCTCTCTCCCTCCCTCTCCCTCTCTCTCTCTCTCTCTTTAGATGTGATTGTTAGGGCGCGGCAGCAGCCCCGCACGGGGAATTAATCTATATAATTAAGTATCTGCTAAGCGTACACATCTCCATTTAGCCCTGAAATTGTGGCGTATTTCCCCCTTGTATTTGATTTCCCCTTTATACATTTTTTTTTTACTAGTTTGTGTATTTGCCTCAATTTTTATCTCACGTTTTCGGTTTGTGCTCGCTCGTCTAACAAATTCTTTCACGCAGCCAAATTCTAAACAAATTTTCATTACGACATCATCATCATCATCCACATAGTCGTAGTTGTATTTCGTATTCGTCGTCGTCATTGGGAGCAGAAACGATCTGATCTGACGATTTGAAATTCGTTTGGTTTGCATTCGCATTCGGTTCGAATCGGTTCTGTTCGGTTCGGTTCGCATATGGGACTCGATTTTACGAGTATAAAAATGCCCACAAAACGATGTTTCCTACGCGTTTATTTATTATTAATTTTTGTTCGATATACTTCTTCATTTTGTTTACGGATCAGTTCAACGATTCGAGTGACGTAATGGGATGGGGCCATTCCCTGTATCTGTATCTGTATCTGATCTGTCGATGTGAATGTGAATGTGAATGTGGGGGCAAGAAGGATTATGTGGAACCAGAAGCTAGACAGCACATTAACTGAGAATGTTGCTCAGAGCTAATTAGATTTTGTGGTAAGCTCCTACCCACCTACCCACCCACCCCCCTTCCCCACCCCTCCTTCAAGGAGCATCTAAATGTATCGATATGTGTGTGAGTGTGTTGTGTGTCGCGGGTATATCCAAGAAGGCCAACCCAGAGAGTAACCCAATTACGTGCCAAAAAGCAGAATGCGACCCTCGACAAGCATTTTTTCGAGCTGTTTTTCTTTTTTTTTTTTTGTTTCGTCGTGCCACATAGAACGTGATTGCACATAGAATCCATGTACCCCGCACCACCGCACCACTTATGTACTTATGTATCTATGTTCTGGGGCCGCTGCATGCTGTACATATATGCTCTGAATATGCCTCTGCCTGTACATAGATACAGCATAGATACATACTGTATGCTGCACGCCCCAGTCATGTTGGGGTTGGGAGATGGGGCGGCTGTAGTGTGGCACAGCCAACCTTGACATACTTTGGCGTCGCACAATGATGACAGAGCTGCCTCTGCTCTGCCTCGGCCTCGGCCAGCTGCACATGCAGTGGCACCCACCCACACACCTACACCCGACTCACCTCATTTCCAACTGTGGTTATCTTGACAAGCACCTCGTCCTTGCTGGCATCGTGCGCCACCACATCGCCGCTCTGCTCGCGGCCGTTGTAGGTGAGAAAGACCCGCTGGCCGGGCTGCAGCTGTATGCCCATAATCGAGCGGAAGCCGGGTCCAATAAGATCCGATTCGCGGAACTCCTTAATCATGGCGTTCCGGCGCAGAGCCTGCGCCGGACTGATGTGCACGTTGGCGACCCGGCGGGTCTCTACGATGACCGATGCGTCCGGAGGGGACGATGATGACGATGACGATGACGAAGACGCGGATGCTGTTGACGGGGCAGCGTGCTGCAGCGGAAGTTGCTGAGTTTTAAAATCGAAACGGACGAGATAGCGCGTGTCCGCGTTCAGCTGTGGCTCCCCGGGGGCCAGGAAGGTGGGCGGCGGCGGCGGCGGTGACAGCGGTGCCAGAGCCTTGCCCGACATGGCCATATACGTCGGCGGCGTCTTCACATCGACGATGACGCCCGAATACAAGAGTCCCTCGGGACCCGGGGCGCACACCTTGGTGCCAATGATTGAGCGTTTGGCCAAACGGCGACCGGTGGACATTTTTGTACGTTGTGTTGGGGGCGATTTCACTCTCAAAAATCTCAATTTTACGGGATATTACCCGCCTTATGGTTTTTGCCTTTTTTTTTATTAACTTTTATTCAAATCCGCTGGGACCTGAGCTGCTTTGTTGCTGTTTCTTCAAACTCAGTGCCAGATTTTAGCTTTGCTAACTCGCCACATTTTCCACGCGCGGGACACACTTTTTCCTTGCAGGTATTGCACTCGATCTCGACTGTAATTTGCACTTTTCCCGTTTCGTTTCCCTGCTTCAAACACTTTTTCACGCTCACTTCTGATGTGGACTCTATTTTAATCACTTTTCTTTGCTTGCACTTTCCTGGTCTCTGTTGGAGTTTCTTTTGAATGGTGGTTTATATGGGTGCTGGTGGGGGGTGGTGGGGGTGGAGAGGGACTTAAGTCTGTGAGATGTTTTTGGTCAGTTTGTAAACTTGGAGCTGGCTGAGGCCCGGCAATTTCTTGATCACGTTCTTGTGGTACAGCTCCAGGGAGAAGGTGACGCGTTGATTCAGGCGCTGGTTACTCTGCAGGCGTCGCAGCGCGGGCAGCAGCGTGGAGGATGACAGTGACAGTGACTGCGACTGGGTCGGGAGTGGATGCAGTGCATCAATCGGGGCACTCAGTTTCACATGCTCGTCGTCGCTGGGCGTCTGAATGGCGTGGCAGTTGCGTTTGTGCCTGAGCATAATCCAATTTTGGCCGCTTTGTACGTCAGTTTGGTTGGCTAACACGGGGGGGGACGCTCAATCAGTCAATCTGTTGAAGAGGGAAATGATTCGGGGGGGGGGGGGCTCACATATAACTGCTGGAATTTTGGCTTTCGGCTTGAAGCTTTTGCCTCACACTTTTTCGTAGATTTTTCTTTTGTTTGATGCTGCCTTGCCTGCTTATTACTGCTTTGCTTTCGCGCTGCTTTCGCTGCCGGTCGTTTCACTTTTTCTCAGAGTTTTTCTCTCACACACAGAGACTGATTTCGATGCAGAGACAGAGACACCCACACAGACGACACTCGCCAGAGAGCAATATGGATGCACTTCTCGCGGGGGGCTGCTGCTGCTGCACTGCACTGATTTGTTGTGCTGTGTTTTGCTGTGTTTTTTTATTGTGGCGACTCTTGGACTCTTTGACTTTTCGACTCGGCGATTGATTGCTGGAAAACAGCAAGACAAACACTCTCACACACACACGCACGCACACAGGGCAGGGAGACTGTGTTCCGCGACTGTTTTTGTTTTGTTTTGTTTTATACTGTTTTATGGCTTTTGTTGAATATATATCTTTGTGAGGGGAGTGGAGTGGGATGTTATTGTTTGGCGTACACGACAAAAATGAATTCTCGCAAGCGCTTATCGTCTGCACCCGAGAGTTTGGTTTTGATGACTGACGCGAACGAGCGAGCTAACCGAACGGCGAGTTACAGTTACTCACACACACACACACACACAGATACTTCTGTCTCTCTTGCGCTCTGCCAGTCGTCTCTGTGTGTGCGCTCTCTCTCTCTCTCTCTCTGTCTCTGTCTCCCTCTCTGTTATGTACAAACGTATCTGTATCTATCGGATCTACCTGCTTGGAAAAGCAAAACAACATACGTATACATAATTTTTGGAGCGTGTGTGCGCGTGTGTGTGTGTGTGAGGCGAGCATAAAACTGTTAGAAATGCATTGGTGCCGCCGCCGTTAACAGCAGCACAAACGAATAATCGACGCGCTGTAATCATATGAAAGGGAAACAGGCCCAGTAAGGATTTTCCATATCCATCATCATTTTCCTGGATACGGATACTGGATTTCCCACTTAAAATAACCCCTATACATACACACATACACACATATGTACATATATGTATGTATATGCATGAGGTTTTTGCCAACGCGACGCATTTAGCTGGAGCGAACGCTTATCAGCAGGCAGCGACCTCTGCTGGCTATCATACGTATCCGTATCTATGACGCCATCGTCAGGAGGTATTCGTACACCAGCACCAGCGACGACGTCGTGGATAGCACAAAAAAAAAATATACTACGCAGTAAAAAAAAAAACTCAGACACTTGTCAACAGAGCCCCGCATAACTGTCCGTGTAGCTGTGTGTGCCTGCTTTGGTGGCGTGTGTGTGCGTGCGTTTCGCTCTGTATTATCAATAACAGAGCGCAGAGAAGAGAATATCAAACAGCGAACAGAGTGGAATGCCGAGCAACAAACAGCTGTTGAGCAAAACAAACGAGAGAGAGAGAGCTAAACATGTTCATACAGCCCGACTCTCACAGTCTCTTCTGCCCTTCAGCTACAAATTTGTTTAAACTCTTTTTAACAATCTAATCAACCAAATATTTATTACAGTTTCGGCACAAGGGATCTGGTGGGGACACAAAATAGCAGTTTGTTAAAATATAATCATTATGATAGTTTAGTTTAGCATCCAGTTACCCCTCCTGTCCACCTCACCACCTTTCTGTTTCATATGCCAAGCGATGTTATTGTGGGGAGCAATGTTCAAGCCGGCCGGTTTTCTGTTCTGCAACGTCACAGAATTTAACAGTTAAAGAGAGCGCCGCCTTTGAGTGTTTGGCTCTCTCACACTCTCTCTCTCTCTCGCTCTCTTTCTTGGCGAAGCTCACAGCTGTTAATGCTTTGAAATTCATTCGATTTTGTTTACATCGCTCGGGATACCATGCTGTTGCTGTTGCTGTTGTTATCCGTATTCGTGGTATTTTTGGGGGCCGCGTTGCTGCTGCCCCTTGCTGCTATGTTGCACGAGTATATACGCTATGCTGGCTGTTGTGCGGCGTTGTTGTTGCCTTTGGAATGACCTCTGTAGGCATACATACATATGTACATTCATATGTATTCGAAACGATTTTGTTGTTAGGGCCAGGGCAGGGATGGGGGCTTTTCCATTCCGCTGGGGCGTGGGGTGGAGGCGTAAATAAACTCGCACACACACACACACTGCCACACTTCTGCAACTTCAATCAACTGCCATCAGCCCAACATCCATAGATTTGCGTAGTTGTTATTGTTGGCAGTGTTGCCCTTATCTCTGATTTCGAGTTTCGGGGTGGATTTGAGGGATTTTCATGCCCACCAGCATTATGAGACGTAATTTTTGGGAAAATTCGCTGCGTATATTGTTTGATCTTGGATGGGGGTCAAAATCCTAGATTTTCAGGATGGAGAGCAAAAGGATGGAAATGATATTAAATAAAATACCAACAGTAAAAGTACGGAGTATAGTATCCGCAGCTTGATCTGGGAATGCTTCAAGGAAACCAAACCCTATAGGAAACCTGTGGTGGCACACACGCACATGCACGCACACACGCGGGGCAGGCAGCGAGTGGCGGCCAAGTGCAAAGATGAACTATCTGACAAATTCAATTAATCATTTCTCTGGTGAAGCAACAACAACTCCAATGGAATGGAATCAACAGAGCGTTGCCAGAGCTACAACAAATACGCAGTTACGAAAAGCAGCATCGCATCGCATCGCTCAAGTGAATATGAATGTGAATGTGAATGTAAATGTGAATGCAATCCGTGAATCCGTGAAACGCAAAAGGCAAAACCAAAACAAAGCATCGGCATTAGATGCAGAGCGAGAGAGGGAGCTGGAGATACCAGAGGACACAGATACAGCAAAGCAAATGCTCACACACAGATGCACAAACATACATATGCATACACATTGACACATTACCCAAACTGGAAAATAGGTCAACCAGTTGAGAGCGCAAGAGAGTCGCTTGCATAGCAAAGAGAGTGTGTTATGAGAGAGCGATAAGAGCTGTAAAGCAGTGTTGTAACGTAACAGCGTGTAAGAGAGAGAGCGGTGGGAGCGCGCACTGTAAACAATTAGAACGGGAATGGTTCTGTTAGCAAACAGCATAGCGGCGTGGCCTCAATTTTTGCGTTACAGATTTTATTCGACTGGAAGGTGGGTGGGGTGTTGTGGGGGTTGGTTGGGTGGCCATTGGCACCCAACAAAGTTCTGAGCAGCCGAGCAGCTGTTGCACTTGATATAAGGTCTCTCCCTCTCCCTCTCTCTCTCTCTCTCTGTCTCCTTCTCTCTGTACCGCTTTGTACCCTTTGGCCCTCAAGAGCGGGTAATTTTATTGGAATTTTATGAAAATTAAACCGGATTTTTGGGATTTCTTAGTCTTAACGTAAAGTCGTAATGAGACACAGCATCTTGTTATTATATCCGCTGCATTTCAGCGCTGGCCGCTGTCATTTCGTATTTTCATTTCGAATTCTCTCCTTTATCATTAACGTATGCTTACAGATCTGCATGTGTGTGGTGTGTGTGTGTGTGTGTGCTGTGATTGGATTGCCTTCGAAACCGGATTTCGAAAATATGTATGTCATTCCGTTCCATTCATTACGCTTTTGGGGTGGGGGGTGGGGTAGGGTAGGGTAGAGCTACGGTACACGTTGTAGGCCCCACAATGGATGGGCTTTGTTGAAAAGAAATCAACTTGAAATTGCCTCGATCGGTCCAAGATGATGGACCAGAGATGACGTAGAGAAAGTGCAAGTTTCATGCAAATCCAAAAACTCGATAAATCGGATATATGTATGTATGTAATACCTGCGATTCTACTCGCACTTTTGCACTCTTAAATACGAGTATTCTTTGCCTTAATCTTTGGGGTTTTATTTCATCCCCATCCCCATCCCCATACCCACCTGAGCTAAGGCTAATTAGAACCGCCTCGCATGGGGGGATGTACCCCCCACCGATGTCCAGGCACCACCACCTGTCAAGCTGGGCAAATTTGCCACCATGACGGGGCACTTGACGAACGTGTCCATGGACATGAGCATGAGCATGAGCTTGGACATGGACATGGATGTTGATGTGGACATGCCACCGACACTGCGTCGAGATGTCCATCAAAAGCTGTCAGTTGCCAGCAAACAAACACACCGAACTCCGAACAGAACACAAAACGCAAATCGCAGATGGCGGAAAATGAAAATCGCCCTTGACTGCCACTCCATACACATTCAGACATCTTTGACTCTGACTTCAACTCCTACACCCACTCCCACTCCATGACATTTAGAGTTGCGTGTTTGGATCATTAGAATGTTTACCTGTTCGCTGTTTGTTAGTGTATCTTCTGTTTGACATCCAGCAGTTGGTCGGGGGTAGCGTGGGGTAGGGTAGGCATCCGAGGAGTATGATATGGAAAATCAAGTTACCAACGGCCAACGGCCAACGGCCAACAGGGTCGTCGTGTGTGATTGATGTGAACATGTCAGCACATACATATGTATGTACATATGGACCTGTGTATGGGGGGTTGTGGATGTGGCTGTGGATGTGGAGGCTATGTCAGCAGGAAGCATAAATTGTAGATTACAGATTATTACAAGACTCACAATCAGTTGCAGATACAAATTTATGTCATGTGCAGGCTGGACATGTGACTGACAAAAAAAAAAGCGCTCGTCCAGAGTCAGAGTTTTGACAACCGGTTCCAGCACCTCTAGCCTACATGGCTGGGGTCAAGGCGGATGGCGGATGGCGGATAGCCACCTGACAGCAACTTTCCTTGGACGGCTGGATTTCACCAATGGACAATTCAATTGAATTGCCATTCCATTCCATGCTCGGACGGCTGGGAGCTGTAGGCTGGAGATCGACGCTGGGATTGGGACTGGCACTGGGAATGTGCGTGCTCTTGTGGATGATGCGTTCGTCCAGGGTTTGCTCTTGAAGCACCAGCTTTAACGATGATTCAAAACATAACGTAACATAAGACGAAAACATAACATAACATAACATAACGTAACATAACATAAGGCGAAAACATAACATAACATAACAAAACATAACATAAGGCGAAAACATATCTAACAGGCCAAAAAAAAGTCGGCAAAAAGGAAGAAGAAGACAAACACAAGTCAAGTTTGAAACCAACTGTGGTGGTGTTAAACTCGGCTAAATATTTATTATTTGGTGGCGGCCAGCTTGTGTCAGATACCACTAATGCTGTACAAAGGCTGACTGGTATCAAACCTTAATAAAGTATGAAAATTATTAAAGTAACGTACCAACTCTAACGTGCCAACGTTAGAGCCACTGCGTAACCGAGAGAATGAATTGATTTAACTCCGCTATTTCTCGCACACATCAACACATAAACTTGCTTTTATTTAATACTTGTAATTATTAAAAGAACTATACTATAGACTGCATTAAAAGGAAAAGGCAAATTAGTTCAAAATAGAAGATAGGAGGGATATGATGGAGAGAATACTTTGACGGAATTAATTTTATGAGTGATGTGTGGAGAGCTTCGGCCAATTAATTTAATTTAATTAAATGCATTTGAGAAACTTCATCAGTTGCAATAGTCTAGACGATAAATGTAGATACAAAATCCGAACAGCATAGCTACTATAAAGTATAGAAAGTGCCAAATATTCCACATGCTCGCAGTTTCATTTTCGTTGACCTCATCTCGCAACTGGATTGGTAAGGGGCGGGGAATTTCAGAGTCTCCATAAATGCAATCCAGAGTAACATTCCTGCCCTAATTTTCAAATAAATAAATCATTATTAATGCCAAGACATTTTTTCTCCCATTAAATACCGTGTCGTAAATCCTCTTCACCATTGGAGTGCTCGGCCTGCACCTGATTGGGTTGCCTTTGACTATTGCCTGGGTGTTAACCAGGCCTATAATACTGTCAATATCGGTGAGATTATTGTTGCTAATGTCAATGAGGTCTACTTTTACGGCATATCTGGGCAAGTCTGTTAGCTGGTTTCCGCTGAGGTTTATGCTTTCCAGACCAAGCATTGATCCGAAGTTCCATTGGGAGAGCATTTCAATGTTGTTATTGGACAGATCGAGGTGCTTCAAGTGCTGGAAACCGGTGTCATTGAGCAAGTATGGGACTTCCTTCAAACTATTGCCAGAGAGATTCAGGGATTTGGGTTTCAAGGCTGCCAAACATTCAAAGTCCAGGCTGGGTTGATTGGAGCAGTCCGCAGAGGCATGTCCATCGATATCGATCGAGACTCGTATGGAGCATCCACATTTTGTAGTCGATTCGGGACATTTAAGATATTTTGCTTCCACAGGGGCCAGAAAAGCAGTAAATGCTAATAAAAGCATAATTGTCATCCTAAGGGAAAAAAAGAAGTGCAATATATAATGTATATATGTATTGGCAAAATTGTTATAGCTACATTTATAACTATTGGTTTGATAGTTTGGCTTGTTATCAACTGCAAGAGAATAAACACTTTACAAAAATTGATAAAGGTGGAAACTAAGAAACTATTTTTTTTTCTAATCCAAGAGTTTCTAATCAGTCGTGAAAGTGCACATCAGGTACTAACCAGCTCGCTTTAAACCTTGTGTATAGCTATACATATGTATATCGGCTAATGATAATATTACACATATTGACCGTGCTCTCTGTTAGAACTACATATATTCGACGGTATATAAACATAAAATAAATAAAATAAAATAAGTGAAAACTGACAAATTAAATTTCTATCGATCTCATTGATAAAGAATTCCAGCGCACTGCAGTGGTAAAGAATTTGCCGAACAACAGCGAATGCGTAAGCAAATTGCGGCTGCAACAAGGTGCAAGAAGCTACATCCGGTTCGAGAAGTTTCCCAGTCGTCGATCGATGACGTACCATGAGTCGACTGGGATAATACTCATAATGTAATCTGTGCCAATCTTGTGGTCACAATTATGTGTTGCACCTGCACGATGCACACGGCTGGTGGGGTGCTGGGGAGGCAACGATGACAGACATAATTTGAATTTGTGAATTTGCCTTACTAAGACATAACAGAACATAAATCAGTTACACTTATTTGCTCACATTTTAACTATCAACATTTTAATTCTCAGCTCTTTTGAAACCTTGTTTATTTCTTTATAAATATTAATTAAATTTGTTTGTTTTTTTTTTTTCAGCCAGTGTTATCAAATTTAGTGATGTTATCGTTATCGATGTTTTGGCCAGGGTTGCTTCCAGGCACGGTTGCTATGAGTTAAGCTTTCCCAGTATATATCGTATACCAGTATGGCGATCGTTATTATCAAACGCAAACATTAAAGGTATTCTTTAGTTAATATAATTTGAAAAAGAGAAAATTGTAGCGAAACAAAACGAACATAAAGACTCGTGCACATACCAGTTTGTAAGCCATGCGCTTAAATATCAATAAAAAAGTGTTTATCGGAACGATGCAAATACTCAGAAGTAAGGGTCGTTCCCAAACTTTGTGCTGGTTGCAGTTCCCTTTGCCGCTCAAGCCCATTTTTCACCAATACGTCCAGTTATGCAGCCTGTTTATTATTGTGTCCGCCAGGGTACTTTACTTGCCCTCCTCTACTATAAGACAAAGTAGACAAATTGAGCAGTAATTTTGTTCCATTTTAGTGAATAAATACGAAATTAATTTGTATTTTGTATTATTTGTATTTTGAGCTTATTTGATTTGACCCAAGATCGGGATCAGACGAGTGTGAATTTGCGCTATCAGTTTCGCGACAGTTTATGACTGAAGCTTAGCTTCAGTTGCATTGACTTATTAATTTACTTAAAGCGGACTTATCAGTAGACTTATATGTACATTTTATTTGCATATATATGTACATATTGCATATTGTATGTACATATATAGTATGTATACTTATTATTGTGCGATATGGATGTACATTTTTTGATATTTTTAAAGCTGAGTCTGAGTAGAGTGGGATGAAATGACTGTGCAGTCGTTGGGGGCATTGGGGGCATCGCAAGTAGGAAACCGAAAACTCTGCAGCACATCAGATCTTATTTAATTTCTTAACAGAAATTTGGGAGTGGCAAGCCAAAGAACCGTTCTGAAAGCCCGTTTCGATGCCTCATTCCAGCTGCCGAACCCAAAAAGTCCTGAAAAGCTGGTAAGTAGATGAAGTAATTGCCAATGATTGCATATATTGTGTGTTAATTAACAGCCAGTTGAAAATTAAGAGACAGCAAACTAATTATAATTATTATGCACAGAGCTAGAGCAAGCAGATCTGATCCTGATCCAGGATGCAAGTCCTGCTGAGGTATATTCGGGGCGGTCGAATAAAGCTCCTGGACGTGTATGAATTTCCACCCTCGCTCTGCGTGTTACTATCCCTCTCTCTCTCTGGGATTTTCTGGGCACTGGCTCAACCAGAGTAAGATTCGTACTTCAAAAAAAAGTTCAGCACCCCAAAAACAATTAAAACTGAAAGATTTATTCATCATATCGGTTTCATTTCATAACTAATGCGACAACCATTAGTCTTATTCTGTTGAGCTAATGCACACCATAAAAAAGAAAAATATTACAGCAACATACACACTGTCCCACCTCCATTTAAAACCATTTATTTCCTCTCGGCACTGTGTTGGCAGTGGCATTGTCTCATTGGAGTACTCCAAAACGCACTCAAGAGTTACATTCTTTCCCTAGAATTGCGAAATATATCTTCTTAATTGAAATGCAAGACAATCAGTTAAGTGGCGTCACAAACCGTTTCATAAATCAACTTCACAATCGGAGTGTGGCAACTGCACCTGATTGGGTTGCCTTTGACTATTGCCTGGGTGTTAACCAGGCCTATAATACTGTCTACTTTCACGGCATATCTGGGCAAGTCTGTTAGCTGAGGTTTATGCTTTCCAGACCAAGCATTGATCCGAAGTTCCATTGGGAGATGGAATTTTTTTTTCTAATCCAAGAGTTTCTAATCAGTCGTGAAAGTGCACATCAGGTACTAACCAGCTCGCTTTAAACCTTGTGTATAGCTACACATATATCGGCTAATGATAATATTACACATATTGACCGTGCTCTCTGTTAGAACTACATATATTCGACGGTATATAAACATAAAATAAATAAAATAAAATAAGTGAAAACTGACAAATTAAATTTCTATCGATCAAGTAGGAAACCGAAAACTCTGCAGCACATCAGATCTTAATTTATTTCTTCTTTCTTAGAAATTTAAGAGTGCCAAGCCAAAGAACCGTTCTGAAAGCCCGTTTCGATGCCTCATTCCAGCTGCCGAACCCAAAAAGCCCTGAAAAGCTGGTAAGTAGATGAATTAGTTGGAATGAAACCTTAAAAAAGTATGAAAAATATTAAAGTAACGTACCAACGTACTGCCAATGAATTGATTTAACTCCGCTATTTCTCGCACACATCAACTTTTATTTAATACTTGTAATTATTAAAAGAACTATATATCTATAGACTGCATAAAAAGGAAAAGGCAAATTAGTTCAAAATAGAAGATAGGAGGGATATGATGGAGAGAATACTTTGACGGAATTAATTTGATGAGTGATGTGTGGAGAGCTTCGGCCAATTAATTTAATTTAATTCAATTAAATGCATTTGAGAAACTTCATCAGTTGCAATAGTCTATGACGATAAATGTAGATACAAAATCCGAACAGCATAGCTACTATAAAGTATAGAAAGTGCCAAATATTCCACATGCTCGCAGTTTCATTTTCGTTGACCTCATCTCGCAACTGGATTGGTAAGGGGCGGGGAATTTCAGAGTCTCCATAAATGCAATCCAGAGTAACATTCCTGCCCTAATTTTCAAATAAATAAATCATTATTAATGCCAAGACATTTTTTCTCCCATTAAATACCGTGTCGTAAATCCTCTTCACCATTGGAGTGCTCGGCCTGCACCTGATTGGGTTGCCTTTGACTATTGCCTGGGTGTTAACCAGGCCTATAATACTGTCAATATCGGTGAGTTTATTGTTGCTAACATCAATGAGGTCTACTTTTACGGCATATCTCGGTAAGTCTGTTAGCTGGTTTCCGCTGAGGTTTATGCTTTCCAGACCAAGCATTGATCCGAAGTTCCATTGGGAGAGCATTTCAATGTTGTTATTGGACAGATCGAGGTGCTTCAAGTGCTGGAAACCGGTGTCATTGAGCAAGTATGGGACTTCCTTCAAACTATTGCCAGAGAGATTCAGGGCTTTGGGTTTCAAGGCTGCCAAACATTCAAAGTCCAGGCTGGGTTGATTGGAGCAGTCCGCAGTCACATAGCCATCGTCTAGAATCGGGCACTTACACTTCGAACTGAACTGGTCAGGATTACAACATCCTCTTGCCAGAAATGCAATGTAAAATGCGATAGTCTGAAATGAACATTTTTGGAAATGAATTGACTCAAGGAACAATCAGACGTTATCTCTAAAAGACTCCATTATTCAGGTACGCATTACTGTCATAGCCAAGATCTGATCAACCTGAACAATAATATATTACTTACATCTCCACTCACTATTGGGGATCGAGGTCCACCAACGCTTGAGGTCGCACTCTCATGGAAGCCTTTGCCACTCTAGAGCTACAACTTCTCAACACCGGATCAGAGCACACCTTCTCCCGAGCTGGGTTGGGATCTATCATCGACCTTACCTTCTGCAGCACCGCTCTCTTTGGGAGAACAGCGTGGGGACTCAGCAGCGCATACACGGCTAGTGACCACAACGCTATCATCTGCAGCATCGAGGCCCACCCACAAGGGACAGCTCTCCAACCAAGGACGACCTTCAATGCCAGAACCCTCAGGCCGGATATCTTCTTGTCAGAGCTGAGCATTCCCGAGGCCCCGGGAACCGCAGAGGACTGCGCAACGAACCTTATCGGCGCATTGACAACGGCATGTAGGGCAAGCACAAGGCAGCAAAGAAGCCACTCTCGCCACCGCGAGCCGGTCTTTTGGTGGAGCATGGAGATTTCCGAGGCTCGCACCGAATGCATTCGTGCTAGAAGACGCCAAACTCGCGCGAGGGGATCCCAAGCCTTCCCATTGATGTCCCAGGAGTACGCAGCGAAACGCCGTGATCTTAAAAGGCTTATCAGAGGAAGCAAGAGGAATTGCTTCCTTGAGCTGTGTGACTCAGCGGAGAACGACCCCTGGGGCCTCGCCTACAAGGTGATAGTCAAGAAGCTTAACGCGGTGAAGCCCCTTACCACGGCTGACCCCGTTAAAATGAAAACCATCGTCGAAAGCCTCTTCCCTACCGTCGACCCAGCTGTCAGCCCGTCGCGAACTCCTTATCGCCACATCGGATGGAGCGACATAACGGCGAGCGAAATCCTGGAAATCGCTGGAGCAACCCCAACCGGCAAGGCGCCAGGCCCGGATGGCATCCCTGACACCGCAGTCAAGCTGGCAATGACCGCGCACCCGTCGGATTTCGCGCAGGCTTTCAACATGTGCCTCCGTGAAGGAGTCTTCCCAACGCCTTGGAAGCTCCAGAAGCTAGTCCTGCTGCCGAAGCCTCAAAAGCCTCCCGAGGACCCCTCGTCGTACAGGCCCATCTGCCTAATCGACAACGTGGGCAAAGCACTGGAGCGCTGCATTTGCAGGAAGCTCCAAGCCGAAATTGCGCAGGCAGGTGACCTGTCCCCCATGCAGTTCGGTTTCAGGAAGGCAAGATCGACAACTGACGCGATCCGCATAGTGACGGACATCGCGGCAAAAGCCATAGAGGGCACCAGGTGGCTTGGAGGGCGGAAGCAGTACTGCCTCGTTGTCACATTGGATGTCAAAAACGCATTCAATTCGGCGAGGTGGGACGTCATCCTCAGGTCCCTCAAGCGGCTGGGAATCCCAGACTACCTGGTGGCCATTATCGAGGACTACTTTCAAAGCCGGAGGCTGCTGTACGACACCGACTGCGGCACCGTGGAGTACCAGGTCACATGCGGCGTTCCCCAAGGCTCTGTCCTCGGCCCGACCCTCTGGAACGTAATGTACGATGCTATCTTCAAGCTACAGCTCCCTGCCGTTCGGACAATGGCTTTGCAGCGCGTCGCGTTGGTAGTGGTTGCCAAGCACCTCGGAGAGTGGAGGCCAGGTGCAACCAAGCGGTGGCCGTGATCCAAGGTGGCTGACATCAGTAGGCCTAAGGCTGGCTGATCACAAGACGGAAGCGGTGTTGATTTCCAGCCGCAAGAAGTGGAGGTTGCGACGGTGCGAGTCGGCTCCGTCGAGTCACATCCTCGCGGCAATCCGCTACCTTGGGGTACTGCTGGACACCGCCCTCCCCGAGCACCCGAAGCAGCCAGCAAGAAGGCAGCAGTCCTAGGCAGGGCCCTGTTACCCATGATGCTGAACACGAGGGGACCCAAACAAGGTCGCAGACTCCTGCTTCAGTCAGTCCGAAAGGCGGTCATGATGTACGCAGCCCCAATCTGGGCTGAGGCGGCGAGGATCAAGTCCTACAGGAAGGGGCTAGATGCGACGCACCGGTTGGGAGCCCTGCGAGTTTGCTGCGGCTTTCGAACCATCTCGGAAGATGCGGCCCTAGTCATCGCCGGAATGCACCCAGTGGTGGACCTAGCCGAGGAAGCTAGGGAAATCTCGTTGGAGCTCGACGTTCCCGCTCAACATCGTTCCCCGGCAGATAGGAGACGTATAAAGACGGCAGCGAGGGAAAGAAGCCTAGCTAGGTGGCAGAACCGCTGGGCCACATCACAAAAGGGAAGATGGACTCATACCCTAATTCCGGACATCAGTAGGTGGGTCAACAGGAGGCATGGAGAAGTCAACTTTTGGCTAACCCAACTCCTAAGAGGGCACGGCTGCTTTAGAAGCTACCTCCATAGATTCGGGCACGACGACGACGCAAACTGCCCGATGTGCGGCGTCGAGGAGACCGCGGAGCATATACTCTTCACCTGCCCAAGGTTCGCAGAGCAGCGGTTGAACACAGTTGGAGACTCGCTTAGCGCGGGTGCCCTCACGAGCGAGATGCTTCGCAGCGAAGACTACTGGTCCCGAGTATCTGAGTACGCATCAGAGGTCATGCGGAAGCTGAGAGAGCTGGAGCGGCTGCTCCAGACCAGACCAATTGTCAGTTCCAATCAAATTTCAAACATTTATATTCCTGTAACTATGTCAAGCCCCATCGAATCTTTTTTAGGATAAATGTAACTTAATAAAAATGTAATTAGCTGGAAACAATGAGTATCGGAGTACCGGATGTGAAAAAATCTATGGCGAAATTGAATATGGAATGGGTCAAGGTGACTTATCCGAAAATATCGTACTGATAACTTAAATCACTAAGAGAACTGCTCACAACATAAATATTATACATATTTGTACAAAATTTCTCACCTCTGACCAGGAGTATTTCATATCTCGGCACTGAAGAGAACCTTAATGTTTATTAAAGAATTATTTAATTTTTTTTATCTCGCCGGTCGTACAGTATGTGTAGTGGAAAAAAGGCATGTGTATGTGTTTTTAGAGATGGAAAGCTTTGAATAAGTCGATGTTTCTTAGCCGACCATCGATCTTTGAATTACAGCTCTGTAGTTAAAGTCAACAAAGTCAAAAGTCTAAAGTCAGCTAATATTGCATTCTATTGTGGTGTTTAGATGATGAGTTTTGGAACGCATGCATGGATTAATAATATTGGTATTAAATAAATTTTTAATTCGGAGTTAATCTTGCCTCACAGCTTGATCGCATTCTAGGACTATCCAGCTACAACAACGTTATTTTTTCCAGTGGCATCCTGAAACAAAATAAACTTTTATTTGTAATAAGTTGTTTTATAACTTTTATTTTGAATTCATATAAAACAAATTGTAAATAAACCAAATTGAAAATTTTTTTAATATTTTATTAGTAAAGCAAAGAATATTTAAATTTATTTGTATATTTATTTTTATTTTTATAATAATTAAAGTAAAGAATATTTAAATTTATTTTTTCCAAAACAAGAACAAAAGGATATTGAAGTTAAAAATAATTATAATTAAATTAAGTATTAAGTGTACGATTTTTTAATTGATATTGAAATATTTTTTAAGTTCAGTTTTTATGCTGTTATTTTATGCCCCTAGAAAATTGGTCAGAAGAATTGTCAGAAATGAATGGTAGAATATTATTATCGTACGCTTTTCACACACTCTCTCTCTCTCTCTTAGTGTGGCTTTGCAGTTAAGGGTGGGTCTTCATGTCCGGCATACACTTAAAATGAGTGTATAAAATCTCTTTCCCCGCTAGCTCTATCCCAGTAATAACCGCGCTCGAAGCTAGCCCCCGTGTTGTGACTTTTACATAATGACACATAATGCATATATGTACATGCATATGTAGGTCATCTTTAATCTTAACGTTTAATTTTATTCAATTATTTTTTAAAAGGAGAAAATGCGATTGAGAAGCTGCCAAATGACAGCCGCAGCACTGCCAATGAGGATCACCTGCAACGTGCGATGCAGCAAGTAAAATCTAAATGAAATTGGAGGGTATCCATTAAAGTTCGCTGCAAGGATCGCTGCAATATTCGCCACTTACCGCCTCCAAACCCTCTGGCCCTCAGCAATGGATGCGGGAGAAGATGGCTCCTTGCAGAGGTACATCCGCATTCCGCGCAGGGCACGCGTAAAATAACTATCCCAGTCCAGAGCTAACATGTCGAATTGGTATATGTCCTGGTCCTGAGGCGACATACACTGCCACAGGTGATCTCTGTTCTTCAAATCGAACTTCCAGCTGCGGCAGGTGAACGGCCGCAATAACATAATGTTTGTGTGTATTTTCTGGTATATTTTGAGCATGCGCGGCTTTCGGCCGACTATACGTAGCGCCAGATCCAATGCAAAGCCGGGAACAGTGTGATAGAAAAACGCAGCCAGGGGAAAGAGCCAGGCCGTGGTCATGCAGTGCAGGAAGGGGTACCAGATCATCTTCGACACTGCATACTTTTCGCCAATTGACTGCGTCTTGTCCCGGAACTGTCCGTAGGTCAAAAGATTCTGTTCACTGGGCGCAAAGTTGTAGATCGCTGGCGGCGAAGAAGTTCTCGCTGCTGCCGTTTTCCAGGCAGTAGCCAAGGCCACGTTGGCACAGTAGTCCACAGGCACCACACTGTGCTGCGCGTTCACATCGACCAGCGCAATGCGAAGGATCCCGTACGCGACTCCATACACCAAGGCAATGGGTCCGTACAGATTGTCGATCCAACCCGGCACGGGATCCCTGGAGCTGGCAATAACTGTAAGCATGGCAAGCAAATATTTAGCAGATCCACTCCGAAAACTCCACCCCATAAACACTCACTAATGGCCGGTCGAAAAATGCACACGGGCAGATCGCCCGCCTCCCGCAGGATCACATCCTCGCCAAGGGCCTTCGTGTAGGTGTAGGTGTTCGGAAACGAGCCGAGCAGATCAGCCGTCATGTTGTCTATCAGCTGATCACTCAGCTGGTCAGTCATTTCCAGCACCTTCTCGGAGCTGCTCGTCAGAAGGTCAGGGTAGAACTGCTCCTCGATGTGGTCGACTACGCAGTTGGAGAAGGCCGTGGAGACGTGAACAAAAGCCTCCAGCTTGACCATTTGCTTGGCCAGCTGCACCAGCAGTCGCGTGGCGCGAGTGTTGATGGCCAGTGCCACATGCAACGGCTCATTGAACCGCACTGTGGCTGCTCCGTGAATGACGATCTGCACCTCTGCTGCCAGGATGCCACGGCTCGTCACGCTTATGCCTAGGTCCGGATCCAGACAATCGCCAGCGATGGGCACTACGCGCCTCAGCGCGTCGGGCTTTGACTGTAAGAGCACCTCAAAAACCTTTGCGATATTGAAGGGGTTAAAGTTGTTCCGATAATCGCAGCTAGTATGATTGCTTACCGCCTCCTTTTCCCACAGGTCTATGCGCTCCTGAATGTCCTGGCCACGCTTTTTCCTGATCAGTGAATAAATGCGCTTCACATCCGTGGTACGCAAAAGTTTCTCAATAATAGCTGCAAATGAAAGTTGTCAATCTCCCAACCGAGTTACCGAGTTTTAATTGGCTTACTTTTGCCCAGGAATCCGGTGCCTCCTGTTATGAAAACGGTTTTGTTTCTGTAAAACCTTTGGATCTCGGTTTCTGTTTCTCTTTCCATTTCCATTTTGACTTTGATTTGGCAGTTCCCTAACCCCATGGATTAATCAACACCAATGGAAAGCGAAGCGAAGCGAAGCGGAACGGAGCGTATGAACAGCCAGAGGTGGAAACTTAAAATAGAAAATGTTTTGTCTTCGTGGCTCTTTTTATATGTAAGTGCTGTCCACAGTGGTGACTTGAGAACTAAAACTAGCAGATCGAATATATTACTTATGTAGATTTTGGGTACATTTTAAGCACTCACTTATGTGCGTGTTGCATGTACATATGTTGCTCGTTAGTTGCCGGCCAACGCATAGTTTGTGTGGGACAGTGACTACTGTGGCTGTACTTAATACAGGCACCGAATAGTGCACGTTTAGAAAAAGTGGAAAAATATCCAAGAGGTCAGCATGCTTTTCATTTAAAATCAATTTATGCAAGCTAACTTACACCGAGAGCACCAATGCTACTTGTATATTCAATTTGATTCCGATTTACGTCTGCATTCGTAGTCGCGCCAGTTGCAAGACAGAAAAACCCATGTATATATGCTCTATTCCTTGGGTATTATTTGGCAGTTCAAACCGTGCCCAGATTCAAAGCATAAGTGACCGAGTTCGTAGGGAAATATTTATTTATTCGAACACATCATGCGGGGTGGATATTCTACGAGCATTAAATGGCAAAGACTAAAGTCTTAAGCAGCGCCCACAGAACGAGTCCTGCCACACAGCAGAGTGCAGCTTGTAGGGCGTGGTGCAACAACTTCAATCTGAAGAAAACAAAGTCGATTATGGCCACACACAAATCCGCATCAAATGTGTTGCATATTACCGTTTGAATAGCCGCTGACCCTGTGCAATGGACTCTGTGGTGGGGGGATCCTTGCCCAGATACAGACGCATGCCCAGCAGGGCATGCTGGAAGTAATCCCTCCACTCCAGACCCGCCATGTCAAAAAAGAACACACGACGCTCCTCTGCGGACATGAGTTCGCGCAGGCGATCCGTGTTTTTGGTGTCAAAGTGCCAGGTTGTGTTCATAAACGGCTTCAGCATGTCCATATTTGTGTGAATCTTGCGATACACGTCCACCAGGCGGGGCTTCCGTCCTGCTAGACGCAGCGCCAGATCGAAGGCATGTCCGGGCAGGGTGTGAAAGAAGAAAGCAGCCAAATGAAAGAGCCACGAGGAGGAGATGCAATGGAGAAGGGGATACCAGATCATCTGGGTGAGTGGATATTGACTGCGGAAACTGAGAGCATAATCCACAAAGTTCCTCTTAGTGAGTGGGTTCTGCTCGGCGGGTGCCAGAGTGTAGATGTCGGGCACTGCCATTTTCTCGCCCCTCTTCTTAGACGTCTGCCAAAGACTGGCCAGCGCCACGTTGGCGCAATAGTCGACCGGCACTAAGCTGGAGCAAGTGTTCATGTCTAAGTTGACGACGCGTAGGACTCCACGCGCGACACCGTAAATTATGGCAATGGGTCCATAGAGGTTGTCGATCCAGCCGCAGACGGGCTCCTTGTGGCTGGCAACGACTGCAATTAATGATCGTAAAATTGCGTTATTCTGCGCGCAAATCACTTACTGACTGCCGGGCGAAAGATCGAAATGGGCAGATCGCCCGCTTCCCGCAGAATCACGTCCTCCGCCAGGGCCTTGGTGTAGGTGTAGGTGTTGGGATACGCTCCGAGCAGGGCAGGCGTCATGTTGTCCATCAGCTCCGCACTCAGCAGCTCACTCATTTCCAGCACCTTCGCCGAGCTGCAGCTCAAGTGCTCCGGATAGAACTTCTCCTCGATGCGATCGATAACGCAGTTGGAGAAGGCCGTGGAGACGTGAACAAAAGCCTCCAGCTTGACCATTTGCTTGGCCAGCTGCACCAGCAGTCGCGTGGCGCGAGTGTTGATGGCCAGTGCCACATGCAACTGCTCATTGAACCGCACTGTGGCTGCTCCGTGAATGACGATCTGCACCTCTGCTGTCAGGGTGCCACGGTCCGACTCGCTCATGTCCAGGCTCGGATGAAGGCAGTCTCCAGCAACGGCAAGTACGCGCTCAAAGGCTTTTGGCCTTGACTGCAGTAGTCCTGCAAACAACTTATAGACAGATGGATGAAAGACAGAACTCCGAGTCCTAGACTTATATGCCTACCGGTTCCTTCTGCCACGCCAGAATGCGCTCCCCAATGGTCCTGCCACGCTTGCACCTAACCAGTATGTAGATGCGTTTCACATCGGTGGCACGCAACAGTTTTTCGATTATAACTAGAACGAGTCGAAGAGCAGAAGCATTTTCGGAGGATCTTTACATCGTCTGATAAGGCATACAAATACCTTTGCCCAGAAATCCTGTGGCACCGGTTACAAGCACCGTTTTGTCCTTGTAGAATCCTTGAATGCCAGACTCCATTTTGGTATCTCGAATTGGGGGAAACTTGCAGCCGATGCACTGGCTAAATGTACTGAGAGAATTAATGGCATTTCGCGTCACTTTTTATGTGATTTGGTGAAAGGGAAACTCATGCATTAAGTCGTGATGTCACTGGGTGGGTTCACCTCACGCCTCATGTCTGTCCAGCAGCGTACCGTTAATTAATGCAAACCTAGATAGAGCCTCATCCCCTCTAATGAATGCAAATGCAGTACTTCTGTGCACTTATCGATTGCTGCAAATTAATTCATTCGACGGCACACTGGAACCTAATCGATTGATTTTTCATACTTTTCGATAGTTAAATGAAAGACGATTGCATCTGTGTGGAGTGGGGTTTACTTTATTAATTCAGCTGCTTGCTAGTTCATTATGAGCTTGGAGATCGACCACAGAATTGTGCCACCGCCGCACGCCAGCGAGGCCAGCAAAGCGCAATGCAGGATCTTTAGACTGTGGGAGGGGGATAAGAACAAATATAATAATTAACAAATATTAACAGTTTAATGCTCTTCTGCGTCTCACCGCTTCAGCATCTTCAGTCCTTGCGCTATGGACTCTGGAGTGTGGGGATCCTTGGCCAAGTATATTCGAACGCCGAGCAGCGCCTTGTGGAAATAGTCGGTCCAATCCAAGCTGGCCATGTCGAATTGGTAGATGAGCCGATCCTTGGCCGACATGAGTTCACGCAGCCGGCTGCTGTTCTTCGTATCGAAGACAAACGATCTGCTCGTAAACGGACCCAGTAACGCAATATTTTTGTGTATCTTGTGGTAAAGCTGCACCATGCGAGGCTTCCGTCCGGTTAGTCGCAGCAGCAGATCCATGAAAAAGCCAGGCAGCATATGATAGAAAAAGGCCACCACGGTGAAGAGCCTGGGATCCGAGACGCAGTGAATGAACGGGTACCACACCATCTTGGTGAGTGGGAAGAACTCGCGCCAGCTAACCGACTGCTGGATGAATGCCCCGAAGGTCAGCAGGTTCTTTTCGCTGGGTGCCAGCGTGTATATGGTTGGTTCCCTCCCGCTGCCGCTCTGTGCACTCCGATCCGTTTTCCACGCGCAGGCCAGTGCCATATTGGCGCTATAGTCAACGGGCACCACGGCGATATGCGCTTCCGTCTTGACGCACATTAGGCGCATAACGCCACGGGCACTGCCGAACATTATGGCAATGGGTCCGTACAGGTTGTCCGTCCAGCCAAAGATGGGCTCCTTGTAGGTGGCAACGACTGTGGAGAGTTGGGAGTGGAGTGTTGCATACTCATTTAAAGTGTAACTGGAAAACACTTACTAATTGCTGGCCGGAAAATGCACAGGGGCAAGCCGACCGCCTCCCGCAGTATCAGGTCCTCCGCCAGGGCCTTGGTGTATGTGTAGGTGTTGGGATACGATCCGAGCAGGGCTGGGGTCATATCGTCAATCAGCTTGTCACTCAGCTGCTCCCGAATGGCCAGCACTTTGTCCGAGCTGCAGGTCAAGTGCTCGGGGTAGAACTTCTCCTCGACGTGCGTCACCACGCAGTTGGAGTAGGCTGTCGATATGTGGACAAAGGACTGCAGCTGCACCATTTGCTTGGCCAGCTGCACCATGAGTCGTGTGGCGCGGGTGTTGATGTCCAGGGCCAGATGCAGTGCCTCATCGAAGCGAACTGTGGCCGCGCCGTGCATGACGATCTGCACCTCCGATGCCAGAAGTTTGCGGTCCGCCGCGCCTATGCCCAGATCGGGCACAAGACAATCTCCAGCGATGGGCACCACGCGCTTGAGGGCCTCCGGATGGGACTTTAATAGCTCCGAAAACACCTGCATTGGGTGGGTCTCTGGCATGAGCTGGAGCTTCTTTGGGGCCTTGGGGGGCGTGGGGGCCTGGTGGCTGGATTACTCACCACATCTTGCTCCCATTTGGCAATGCGTTCCTGAATGCTCTCGCCTCGTTTGGGTCTCGTCAGGGAATAAATGCGCTTCACCTCCGTTGAGCGCAAAAGTTTCTCAATGATAACTAAGAGGCAAAAGAAATTCACAAACAAAAATGTACACTTGCCCGCTTGGACTCATATTTAATGGGAGTGGGAACAACTGGCAGCTAGCAGTTCCGCACCGCACCGTGCCACATACCTTTGCCCAAAAATCCTGTGCCACCAGTTAGAAAAATGATTTTGCCATTATAGAATCGCTGGATGTCGGAATCCATTGTGCCAATTGCCTTCAAATAGGTTCAGCTGCCGCGCAGAGCTGTGGCCAGACTGAAGAGTCATTCCAGACTCGTGCTGCTATTTATATGGACAATACAATTTCCGCCCCACAAAGGTCGTTCTGCAAAGTAGATGCGCAGTCACCGCTCAGCTCGACTCAATGCTGAATTCAAATCAGTTCGTAAATAGATATTTATTATACATGTGTACAGCCACAACACATAACAGTAGCATAAACGCGTGCAACGGATGCAAGGGGGCCAAGGAGTCTTCCCACATTTACTTTATTCCAAAACACACACCAAAAACTCTAACTTTAAGCACGGCAATCAGACTGCCAGCCTGATCAGCGACCATAGAATGTACGCAGCAATGCAGCCGAGGATGGCCTGCAGGAGGTGGTGGCACAGCTTAAGCCTGAAAGGGCAGAACAACAGAATGCAACAGGGGGGCACAGGAAATGTCAGGGATTCCAATTACCAGTTGATCAGCCTCAGTCCCTGGGCTATGGACTCGGACGTGGGCGGATCCTTGCCCAAGTATTGCCGAATGCCCAGCAGGGCCTTCTCGAAGTATTCCCTCCAGTTGAGGCTCGCCATGTCGAAGTCGAAGAGGCTGCGATCCTGCTCGGACATGAGCTGTCGCAACTGTTGGGTGTTGTGCATGTCGAAGAACCAACTTTTGCACGAAAATGGCCCCAATATGCCCAGGGTTTTGTGTATCTTGCGGTAGACTTTAACCAATCGCGGCTTCCGGCCGCTCAGCAGGAGCCCCAGATCAAAGACATAGCCGGGCAGGGTGTGGTAGAAGAAAGCTGCCAGGGGAAACAGCCACAGGGTGGTGATGCAGTGAAAGAACGGATACCAGATCATTCTGGTGAGGGGACACTGCGTGCGGCCCTCCAGCGCATAGTTTATGAACTCCCCGTGCGTCAGGGAGTTGCCCGCAGTGGGCGCGAGCTGATAAATGGGCGGAGGATCTGTCGCTCGCCCCTCAGTCTGTGCGGTTTTCCAGGCGCAGGCCAGCGCTAGGTTGGCACAGTAGTCGACGGGCACCAGGCTGGCCTGGGCCCTCACATCGATGGTGGCTATGCGCAGCACTCCGCGAGCAACGCCGAACAGGATGGCAACGGGTCCGTAGAGATTGTCGATCCATCCGGGGACGGGTTCCTTTTGGCTGGCAATGACTGCAATTACACAGAGCCAATGGTAAGGAAGAATCCCTTTGCCCTGTCCCGGTGCCCCTTCACTTACTAACTGCCGGTCGGAAGACACACAGGGGCAAGTCGCTCCCCTCTCTCAGAATCACGTCCTCCGCCAGGGCCTTGGTGTAGGTGTAGGTGTTGGGATGCGCTCCGAGCAGGGCAGGCGTCATGTTGTCTACCAGCTGATCACTCAGCAGCTCACTCATTTCCAGCACCTTCGCCGAGCTGCAGCTCAAGTGCTCCGGATAGAACTTCTCCTCGATGCGATCGATTACGCAGTTGGAGAAGGCCGTGGACACGTGAACAAAAGCCTCCAGCTTGACCATTTGCTTGGCCAGCTGCACCAGCAGTCGCGTGGCGCGAGTGTTGATGGCCAGGGCCACATGCAACGGCTCGTTGAACCGCACTGTGGCCGCTCCGTGAATGACGATCTGCACCTCCGATGCCAGGAGCCTGCGGTCCATGTCGCCTATGCCCAGGTCCGGCTCCAGACAGTCTCCAGCGATGGGGCACACTCGCTGCAGAGCTTCTGGCTCGGCATTCAGTAGCAGTTCAAATACGGGATCCTGTGACCACTCGCTGATTCGTTCCCGAATTTCCACGCCACGCTTCGCTCTGATCAACAAATAAATTCGCTTCACCTCTGTGCTTCGCAAAAGCTTCTCAACGACAACTGAAAGGAAGGGCATTGAATTATTGATTTAACCAGTGGCAATGGGAAATACCTTTGCCCAAAAATCCAGTGCCGCCAGTCACAAAAACGGTTTTCTTTCCAAAATACTTTTTAATGGCACTTTCCATCTTTTAATCTCTCGCTGGGATATCCGTTCAAAAATATGTTGGAGCGGGGGCCTGGGGAGATGGCAAAAGTGGCAAGTGGCAAGTGGCATGCAAGAACCCGTGCAATATATGCAAGCTGCAAACAGTGAAAAGTTCACGGGCCGCGAATTGCGAGGAATAGCTTAAATGTGAGCGAACCCCGTTGCTGCAGCCGTTTTATATAGCTTTCATTATACCTATGCAAGTCGGTTCCAGGGCTGGCGACGCAGCAGCAAATATATCCACAAATATCTCCCCTTATTGGGCGTTTTCTTTTCAGCCCATTTCGATCGGTCTTCGGTGGTGGTAGGGATTAATAAATAAATAATAACCACTGCATAAAAATGGGAATCGGCAACTAGCTGTGCGCGCATCCCTGATGCACAGGTATAATTACTCGTTCATTAGCTCCACGAGTGGGTTTGGCTGATTTGTTACCCAAATCCCGAAATGCTAAAGAATGTCAAAAGTCTTCAATAAATTTGTACAATTCACACAGGCAAAGCGCCCCGCGTATGGATTTTAATTGCTCACTGACGATCATACTAATACTATGTATATGTACATACATACACATGTATGCATGCATATGTATGAACTCATGCGAGGCGGCTGCCCAAATTAAACGGATTGCTAATTGCAAAAATGTTAGCATTTATTTTTGTTGTATTCAATGTGAAGATAATCAAAAAATATAAATATTAAAATCACACTTAATATAAGTAAACGACTAGTAAACCCGTATCTGTATTTTTGATACCTTTGCTTGGTTCAGTTGTTTTTCAAAAATCGTTTTGCTAACCACGAGCTTGAATTCAAATGCCCGCCACAGTGCTGCCGTACCGACGAAAAATAGTGTTCATGACGCTTTACCTTTTTCTGGACATCTGGCATCCCAGCCAGATATTTGTGGTATATTTTTATGGGGTCGTTTTTGCGTTGCAAAATTGAGTTCCAATTGGAGCGCAGAACCAGCGTGACCGTATATTAAATATTTTCGGGATTTTGAAGAAGTTTGGACTTTGGCGTTTTCCAAAAAATAAATAACAGCCGCTTGACAGCTGTTGTTGTTGTGTAATAATAATTTTTTTTTGCTCCGGAAATGGCATGCGCCCGTAAATTCGTCTTTCGCGTTCTCCAAAATAACAACCTAGCCTCGAAACGGAGCATTGCCATGTCCCACGTACGACGCGCCGAGGAAGCCGTGGAGAAGCTGAAGGAGAGCAATCCCTACTATTGGAAGTACGCGGAGAAGATTGCCAAGATTCAGAAGACTTCTGCCGAGGAGTTCCTGGATCGTGTTGAGCGCGTCGTGAACCCCATCAAGGATGGCGAAATCCAGGCTAGGTGAGCAAAGCGCATGGCTGACAGCGGCAGCAATTATTGATTGAACACTTTGCAGGTCATACTCCGAGCTGCTGAACCCCAAACAGGAGCTGGCCAAGCAAGAGGCGGCCGCCGAGCTGCCGCACAAGAAGCTGTCGGACATCATGAAGCTGGAGCTGCTGGCCGACCAGAGCGCAGAGGCCTTATCGCAGATCTGGATCGAGTACCACAAGACCAAGGATGTGCTGGCGGCCACGCTGACCACCGCTCAGTACGACACCCTGATGGGCCGCGCCAAGGAGCATCCCATTTTCCTGCTGCCACTGCCGCGCAGCGAGGGATTCGAGTTCTTCCTGCTGCAGTTTGCAGCCAACACGGTTCACTTCACGCCACTGCTGGCCTACCAGGTGCATCACGAGAATGCCCCCGAGTGCCTGACGGTGGTGCACTACACTGAGGTGCAGGACAAGGGCCTGGTGCTGATGCGCGGCGAATACGACACCAAGGTGCTGACCGCCCAGGAGGCCCAGTGCCTGGCGAACGAGCTGCAGATGTTCTACTACAAGACGGACGAGAGCAAGTTGAAGCTGCTGGAGACCTTCACCAAGCGCCCCGACGAGTTCAAGCACACCGATCTCATCAAGGAGGTGGAGAACATTCAGCTGGCCTAGACATTGAAAAACTAATCAAAAAATAAACACAACGCGAGCGATCCCTCGTAAATTGAACATGTACTTAGACTGGGACCAGGACACAGCATGAATCAGTATCTGACCGAGTTCGACACCGTCATGGAGCAGATTGGTAAATGCCGAGCAGATTCATATTCATGTGCGTCTGGGGGCCAACTAAGCGTCCCATTACCCCACCCCACACACAGGCTTCGGCAGAGTCCATCTGTTTGCCACTCTGACCCTGGGCCTGCTGCAGATGATGGCCATTATGGAGACAATGGGCATTGGCATTGTTGGACCGGCGGCTGTCTGCGATCTGCATATGAGTCTGATGCAACTGTCCTCGATTATGGCCGCCGGTTTCATGGGCATCATTTGTTCGTCGTACTTCTGGGGCTACATCACCGATAAAATGGGTCGCCGTTGGATCCTCTTGCGCACCATTTCGCTGAGCAATCTCTGCTCGGTCATATCCATGTTCATGGTTAGCTTCTCCGGCTTCTATGTGATGCGCTTCGTCACGGGCATATTGTGAGTGGTTTTTTTTTCCTGCACACAGCACCTGTCCCCATCCCGATATTAAATCAAACAATCAACGCAGCGTGGCCGGGCCGAGCTTTGTGGCCGTCACCTACCTCAGCGAGTTCTGCAACAAGCAGATCATGGCGCGCGTCGTCACCCACTTGTACATGTTCACCGGATTCGCCATGCTGTACAGTCCGGCGTTGGGCACATTCTTTATGGGCACGAGCTACATGGAGTTCGAGGTGGAGCTGGTGGGGGACCTGACTCTTCGACCCTGGCGTTTGCTTGGCTGCATGTTTATGCTGCCCGGAGTGATTGCGTTCTTCCTGCTGCTCCGCATGCCGGAGAGTCCAAAGTTCTTGTTCATGATTGGCGAGACCGAGAAGGGCATGGCCGTGATGGACTGGGTGTGCAGAAAGAACACCGGCCGACCCCTCAACCCCGAGCAGGTGGCGAACATGCTCAAGTTTCAGGAGAAGGCACAGGTGAAGCGCCAGAGGAACTCCAACAACATCCTCAGCACGATGCTCAATGATGCCATGCCACTCTTCCGGAAGCCCTTCGTCGGGTACTTTGTCAGCGGCTGTGCGGTTATGTTTGTGATGGGCCTGCTGTGAGTGGAGCAGCACACACTCTGGAGTGCTCTGCAGCTCTACTACTCTCTACTTTTGCAGGGCCAACGGACTGGGCATCTGGTATACTTCGATGCGCAATCGAGCGAATATGCGAATAGGATCCACGGAGAATATGACACTGTGCAGCATGCTCTTCGAGAATAACCCCAGCCTAATGCAGGAGACCGAGGAGGACCTTCTTGTCGTTAGGACTAATCACTGACCGCTGCCCTTATGCCACTCTCGTTCATCGCATCCCGTCCTTAGGTCTGCAACGATGACCTGCACAGCTTCTACGATTCGCTCATTCTGGGTGCCACCTACATCATTCTGTACAACATCTGCTGGATGCTACTCTTCTATGTGCCCCGGAAGACCCTGTTGGTCACCTCCTTCATCATTGCCTCCACCTGCGGATTTGCGTTGATATTCGTGGCCAACCATTGGGTTCAGCTGATGTGCTTGATATTCTTGATTTCATTTCCGGGCCTCATCATTTCACTGATGGGCGGTGCCCTGCTGGAGTTTGTGCCCACCTACATACGCGCCAAGGCTCTGTGCATCAGTCTGATGTGGTGCCGCTGGGGCGCTGTCATGGGCACGACCATCGTTGGATCAAATATTGAGCAACACTGCGAGATCACTCTACTGGCAATGGCAATTATGCCTCTGTGTAAGAGCTATGTAGATCTGAATCTGCCTAAGTAATTAAAAAAATTATTTGTTACTCCTTTGCAGGCTCCGCAAGTCTTGAGGCATTTTTGCCATTCTAAACGATGTGCGCAGGCAGATATCTACTACGATTTGAGACGTACCAAAAGTAAAGATAATAATTAACTGGCTTATATGTATGTCTCGTCTCACAAAGTAATGTAATTACACGAAAGATTACAAGTGAAAAAGGCCCGAAAAGTAGGCAACAATATGCGAATGCGTTCATTTCCAATAAATTCGAGTTTCAATGCTTCCCCCGCCCTCCTGCTGCTTTTGCTATTTTTTTTTGTATGCATAAATATTATGGATTTATGGTTATATGCTGTGTGTGGGGATGGATTATAGAAAAACAAACCAATTAATCGTTGTAGTTTATATTTCGATTGTTTCCGATCAATTAGGCGAATATTACGATTATTTCACATGTGTCATTTATTGAACTAACATCCAGAATTGATGGAAGATATATCTATCCGTAAGTATTTAGTGTGCAGCTGCAACTACATCTTATTTCTCAACACGTTAAACTATTGCCCCGACAAAAAAATAACCAACTGATTAACAACAAATAAATGAGTTTTAATGGTCGTCACGGTCCACGGAATTCGGGGCTTAGAACACCTCCTCCTCATCCAGGGCACGGATCTGTGGGAGTGAGATTAAATGGATTGCTGTGTGTGGATACGCGTATTTTTGCCTCTCACTTTGCTTACCAACTCCCCGCCGCTGTTGATATTTTTGACCATATTGTTTTCCAGCTCCCGATTGCGGAGCATTTCCATCAGTGGACCGCCCCGCTTGCCGAACCTGACGCGTGCCCTGTCCCCATAGTATGTGTCCAGATCTTGCAGAAACTTGTACGCATCCGCCATGGTGTTGACGTCATTCTTGCGTGGTGGCCTCGAGTTGGATGCCTCCACATTGCAGCTGGCGGCGATCAGTGCAAGTGCCACGCAGACAATCAGAATGCAACGCATTGTATTGGACATGATGCAAGCTGGCTGGAGAAACGTAGAGGAGAAGAGTTCGTAAAATTAGCATGAGAAATCACAATATTTATTGTACTCTGAGCTAATTGACATCTCATGTCTCTTATATTGCGGCCTATTACAAATCCATTCGGGCTGGGCTGGGTCTTCGTAGGGCCACATTTAATAACTGGCATTCTCGTATGATTATTTATGGCCGGAGAGTCATGGGGTGAGCGGGCTAAATGGGCCTGGCCTGTCCTCTGCTTTTAGTTTTCGCTGACGACAGTTCCTGGTCCCCAGCCCACGATTTGGATGTGCGCGACTGACGTACGCGAGCAGAGCAGAGTATGCAATAAATAGCTAATAATTACAACCATTATATCGCAGTTAGCTGCTACTTAAGGTCACTGTGACCCATACGAAACGATGCAATTACGAATCAGAACTCTACTGTTGTCTGAGAACTTTCCAGCATAGTCATTTGATACAGCTTTCACGACTGATTCAGCGAACGAAGTTTCATTATTTTAAAATTTAAAATAAATGTCTAAAAATAGCCACTGCTAATGGCCCCATCCTGAACTCGCGAGAACTTTAACTTCAGTTTTAATTTAGCCAGAATTTGTTTCCATGCACAGATGAAAGCCACTCTTACCTGGTCAAGATTACCGCTACAGTTGAGTATTTAACAAATGGGATGTGAACTTCAATCACAGCACACACACACAGAGAGAGGGTTCAATGCAATTGGTCACCGGCAGCGGAGTGTGTAAACAGCGGTCGCAGTCGTGAATAAATGTTGGCCAAAAGCTATTGGCAACAGGTATTTATAGGGGCCGAAGCGACGCGTCGCGTGCCATAATGCAGAAGGATACCCGCCTTACGCGGGCTTATCGTGGCCCACAGCCGCCCACCACATCGCAGCAGAGCAGCGAACAAACGCGGAACGAGCGGAAATTGGCGGACGGAGCAAAAGCAAACCAAACAGAACCGAACACCGGGCGAAGCCTCTGAAATATTTTCATATGCAAGATAATTATGTGGCTGCTCTGCTCCTGTGTTTGAAGTTTTGCAGCAGCTGGAACGGAAAAGCGCCTGACAGTCGGGTGAGTCGGGGGAGTGGGCATGCGATGCGATTCGAATGGGATTCGTATTTGTTTTTGTTTTTGTTTTCGGTTGGCAAATGGGAATGGAAATTAGAATGAGAATGCCAGCGAGCAGGGTCAGGGTTGGCTTGGGATGGCATGGAATGGGATGGGGAACGGTAATGGGCACCCCACCCCCATCCCCACGCCTCTGCAAAATGTCGATGGAGATTGTTGAGCGCTAACAAATGATGACAGTTGGCTAACGAGATATCCAGAGCTGCAGATAGAGAATTACGCATAAATGAATAAATGACAAATTTTCGATAAGAAGGATTAGCGCCTGCTGCGCCACCTGAATGTTGCACACAGTCGTCACAGTCATACAATTGATTTATGTGAGAGCCGCCTATCTGGTACCTCCTGCCTCCTTCCGCTGTCGGCCGCTTGGCAACCCTATCATTAATTATTATATTTTGATTATTGTTTAATAACTGTTGGCTTAGTTGGCTTAGTTGCCTGTTGGCTAATTGCGATACGCGACGCCATTGGGCATGGCGTTACATAAACTGCTCGACTTTGCATTGCCGTTTAATTTGGGGTCAATACGGTGAGACGATTTCAATAGCACTTCACTTCCCCGAGCGAGTGTTTTAAGCTGTTCGAAAGTCGAAAGTGTCCGCGTGTCTCACTCGCTACATACAGTTCCTTACGTATGCTACAGCTTATGCAGTGAGATGTGACGTCACGGCGACAACTTCTTCTATATGGTTATGTTATTAAGTTAATATTTATAATAAACGTTCTGGCTAATTATCGCTTCGGCGTTTACCTTGTTGTTGCTTTTCCCTGGTCTACGGTGGCTGGATACCTCTGGATATTAATGCTGTGGCTGTCGACTGTCGCTGTTGCTGTCGTTGTTGTTGCTGCTGCTGCTGCGAATATTGTTCCAATTAAACTTGTTAGATATTCATTTGCGTTGGGCGGTAGCTATTCATATTTAAATCTAATTGCCATCCAACATTGTGGGTTCCTCATTGTTTCTCCTGAGAGTTTAGCTCCAGTTCCAGTTCCATTAACCGCTGCTGATTAACATTGCCCCCCCCCCATCGTACTAATTGGAGCTATGATCTATTAAAGTCGGAACACTGCAGGTCAGTCTGCCACATATGTCAGCACACGTTTGCACTTTCCGTATGGCTCACCTTGTCGCCCGGGGAACAAAGACGGCGAACAAAGACCAATCAAGGTCCAGAGTAACTTTCTGGGTTTTTTTCGTAAGCAGGCAGGGAAGCCCCGGGCAAAAGAGCCCTAGTGGGGCCATTCGGTCGAACTGGTTCAAGGATAGTTCCGCGTTGATAGCTGCTGGACACGATCGACCTTTTGGGTTATGGTGTTGGTGTGTGCATCTCATTGTTCTCTGCGGATTGGGCTGCGGCTTCGCTTTTGTCACCTTTCGTGTGCTAAAGCGGCAACGTCATCAAAACCTGTCAAGACAATGCACAGGCAAAGAGTCTGGCGGTGCAATTACGCGAAAGTGCCTCGTTTTGATAGTGGTGGGGGGGTGGCAGCGTCACATGCATGTCTGTGGTTTCCCCAGACCTTTCCCATGCCCATGGCAAATCATTTCTGGTTCGGGCACATAATACTAGGTATGGTATAGGTACATAGATATTTGCATGCCAGCTCCCAATTTGAGCAAAACTTGAAAAGTTTTCAGAATTTTCCACCGGCTGTGTGTTTAGGTAGATGTCGATATTAATAATCCGGCGTGCTGCTGGGATTCCGGGATGATCCGCTGCCCCCTGCAGCTCGTTAAGAAACTACTTAGTTTAATTGAGCGTTTAATGTATGCGAAATAGTTTTGAGCCTCCGTTGGGTTGGGCATTTACTTAGATTTTTATATAATTTTCCATCCCTCGGAGCAGCTGTGTGCGCAGTCCCTTTTGGGGGCGGGCTTTCCTAGCCTTGAGGATGTCAACTAATTGGGCAGAGGCTGCAGAGTAGACAATCGTAGACCTTATTGGCAATCAAATGATAATTGCAACTCCAAATTTCACGGCCAAATAACAACTTTTGCGTACATTCGCCGCCAATGTATTTGTGTTGTGTTTGGTTTTCTAAATCAGGCAAATATTGTTCTACATATATCCAACAAGTCTGACTAACTGGCTAGGCTAGCTAGATTCTAGTCAGATTCGTGGTATTTTGAATTTTTCCACTTTCCGATTGCGACCGAGAGGGGTTAAAGGTTTGTTCACATACGCTAGAAATAAAACAGATACTCGCTCTCGCTCTCGCACTCGGAGTGCTGCAAAACCAATATTTGTTTTAATATTTGTATAAATTCATAGACACTTGTCAGGTCTTTTGGGTTGGCAGGTGTGAAATTACATTTGGAGGCGTGTCACTAAACTAGCAGATAGATTTGGCAGTTCCGAACTGAATTCGAAAGGCCTGAAAGCAAATGATTGTTGATAATCTGTAGCATTAATTGTAATTTAAACGAGAAGGAACGTGCGAGTCGCTTCTGGGGACGCGACTCTACTTATACCCGTACTCAGTCAGTAAATACATTTTTGAGCTTATGATTTTTTAGAATTTTAGAACAATTTTACATTTTACATTTTTTTTGCTACATCTGATATCTACATCTACATATACAATGTATATTCTACATCTAACATGTAGATTGTACAATGTACATGTACCATTTAGATTCTACATCTCCTTCGCTAGGGGTTGCTCACGCACTGAACGCGGCAGAGTGTGCGAGCGAGAAGGAAAATGAGTTGTGTTGTTTTGGTTGAGGAGGGTGCAGGGGAAGCAACTGAAAATCGTCATTCTGGCTATAATTATGAACCGATCTGATTCAGATTCAGCAGTCTGGTAGATATGGGCATTCTCTACGATACTGCGTTTTTAGTTTTATCGTATCTTTAAAAATGTGCCTGCCACAGATTTTCGTTCTTTGTGGGGGCGGAAGGGGGCGGGGCGAAATTTTGAAATACACTTGTAGCAGTGGGATATCACATGAGTCTGGAAATCAAATTTGGTTGCCCTAGCTCTTATAGTCTCTGAGATCTAGGCGCTCATCGAGACAGACAGACAGACAGACAGACAGACAGACAGACAGACAGACGGACAGACAGACATAGCTATATCGACTCGGCTATTGATGCTGATCAAGAATATATATACATTGTGGGGTCGGAAACGTTTCCTTCTCTGCGTTACACACATCCACTTTTACCACAAATCTAATATACCCCTTAACTCTTTTTTGAGTACGGGTATAAATATGAAACATTACGAGAAAAAAGAGTATTGTTTTGGGCATCCTTATTCGTTTTTAAATATATGTACACGAAAGCTTTTAATGGAAGAGCTTTAATTTTAGCCAGGACACGACACACCGTTCTCTGTGCTCTGTGGTAGCTTTTTTTCGCACACTAGAACTTTCTTCGAAAGCATAAAAAGCTAGTCGAGTCGAATCGAGTCGGAGGAGGCACTTTTTGATAGGCCATAATTATGGCACGAGCTACCAACGACAAACGAGCGATAAACAAACAAACAACAACAATTATCCAGGGGGGAGCAACAGCAAAACGGTGGGATAATGGCGACATGCATGTCAAATGATAGTTAGTGGCGTGAACCGAACACATTCGGGATCATACGAGCTGAGCTGATGACGCGGTGGCAAGCCAAGGGTTCAAACGGCACATACAGAACAACCCGAGAGTCGGAGAACGAGCCAATTCCGGGTAATATGGGGCAATAAAAAAAGAAAATGGCTATTCCCAGACAAATGATCATAATCGAGAAAAAAGAGATACAGAGAGAGAGAGAGAGAGTGAGAGAGAACTGGTAGGGTACAGTATTAATGGTCTGAGCACGCACGTGGCTGCTAGGGATTGGGGGGGGGGGGACAACGATCACTCAAGGTTTCCTTTGAGGAACCTGTACCTGTACCTGTGCTCTGTGCTCTGTGCCTTGTGTGTGTGAAGGGAAATAGGTCAGCAACTAACGAGACAGTAAGTAGACACTATTATTAGATTAACTGTCTCTCCAGATTTGTTAGCTGCTCTTGGTGGGCTTGATCGGCTGATCGGGAAATATGTATGTAGGTACTAGTAGTAGTACTCGTACTGGTACTGGCACTAGTGCACACGATCAATTAGTATCAAACTAAATAGCGGATGGCTAATTATCAGAACAGCCAGTTAATAGCTAATCGTTATTATCTGCTAAGAATCAGAACTGGATGTAATTGCGTCAAGAAGTGGCTTTTAATTGCGGGCAAAAACTTCATGCATATTTATGGCAACAGAAAAAGGGCACGGGCACGGGCACTGGCACGTGTGCGTGACCACTGTGCATATAAGTCGGGCGGGCTCTGCCAGAGATTAAATAGAGTCATTTGTGGTAATTTGCCAAGCCAAAGCGATCTCAAATCCCACTGGCCAGAATCGTTCTAACTAACTCAAGTCATCGGACGGAGCGGACCGACCCCGAGGGGCACCCCACCTCACTTAGGGGGTTCTTACCACAGACATGTAGACTTAATGTTCCTCGATGTTTCTGTGTACTCGTAGCACTCTTACTCGGTACTACTGCGTGTTCCTCAATGTGTGATGTGAGCACACAGGTACGCGTACGCGTACCTGAGCCAGAGCCAGAGCCGAGCCGGAGCCGAGGCCGAGCCAAGCCCGAACTAAGCCCGAGCAGAGGCTTGAATGTGGACCGGTTCTTACAAAGATTTTCGCGCTTTGGGAGCGAGATGCTCGATGCTAGCCGCCAGCTCGCTGCTAGACACTCGGTCGGGGCTCGGTCGGTCTCGTCTCGTTCGGGCTCGGCCCAATAGTCCATATAAAGGTCCCCACTGCAGTCTAGATCGCCGCATTAAGTTGTCAAAATTTGTGGGAATAGGAAGTGCGTGACAGTCGATTCAAAACTTATCACAACTTACCAGCAGCAACAAACAAGCAACGGACGGATAATTCTAAACCCTGGTGGAGAGAATATACATAGTACATATCAGCTTAGACGGGATCTTATGTACGGAACATAACGGATCCGATCAGATCGGATCAAATCGGGACATTCGGTGCAGTGAAGTCAAGTGGAACAAACAAAAATATCCAGCAATAAATTCATAGTTTTTATAACGACAAGTTTACTGCCGTTTAATGCGCACAGACTAATATTATTTTTATGCGAATCAAAACAAATTAATCCGCTGCAGGGGCCATGCAAATTGATCCCCCTGATCGGTAACGGCATAGGAATCAGAATCAGAATCGGAATCGGAATTTTAATCTGAATCAATCTCAATCTGTAAGCTGGATCGGCAGACCTGTTAATAGTTTAATTAGCGGCCATAAATAATAACACAAAGATTAATTGATTTTCGTCATAAATCAGTAAATAACCAATCAATTTTCAAGCGATTGCGATACCGCATACCCGCCATACCCGCCATACCACATACCCGCCCCTATCCATACCGATCCAGCCGATCGGTTCCTTTCCTTTCCATCAAGTGCAATCAGTAAACCCGGTCGTTCGGTCGGTCAGTTAGAGACACATTTTCAAAGTGCTGAAATGAAACTATTTACCAACAAAAACCAGCGCAATGCAAGTGAGTATAACCCAAAATAGCCAAAGCAACGCCACTCCGACGGTGGTTGGGTGGTTCGGTGGTTCGGTGGTTGGCTCTTAATTAAGCCATGCGACCGTTGTCCACATTGGTCAAAGCCAAAGGCCCATAAACGTTAATACGAGTCGCCTTTTTTTTTTTACCAGCCAAGGGAGCAGAAGCCAGCCAGCCAGGCAGCCCCCACGCGATCGTAAAAACGCCAACAAAATAGCGAACAAAAATCTTGCACAAAACTGCTCAAATTGCTGAGATTGCTTAAACCGTACAGCACGTTAGCTTAGTAGGGAATTGTGCAATTTTTAAACGCTTGTGCATGCTAATCAAGCAGGCAGATCTCTCAAGTGTTTGAAATGTGTCCAGCATTCTCCCCAGGGAATAAACATTTATTATCACCTACCGAAATTAGTTGTTCTAATGCAAACGGTACACATACAACTCGTACTTATTACTATGTAGTTTGGCAGGTGCGTTGCTCAAATTAATGAGACAGCTGGCACACGCTCAAATATTTATTTGAATTTAAGTCTGATAGGCGGGATCGGGATCGGGATGGGGGGGATCGCTGGAACCCAGTTCCAGCTCGAACTCAGACTAAAGTCCGAGAATGTTTTGGCAGCACGTCAGCATTCATAATGTATTTGCATTCGTACGAGTATTAGCCAAAAATAGAATATCTGTGAATTAATTAATTGTTTTAAAACAAACAAACGCAAATTGTATTAATTATGGAATTCTAGGGTTGTTTGTCACAGCCTCCCCACTGAGTTCTCTTCTCGGTCAAGGCCTATTAGCTCTTAGTATCAAACAAAACCAGAAAAAAGGCAGCCCAGCCAATTTGCATGACAACAAGCCATGATGGAAGCTGCGATCGAGGTACCAAGGGCGCAGCGTAGGGTTCTACCGCATTGTTGACCAAAACCAGACCCAGATCAGGCCTAGGCATAAATCACATTATTTGTAGTCCGCTTGTAATAGCTGCTTGTACTCGTACACTGATGTAGATGCTAAATCGTTTAGGCAAAGTCATTGAAAATAAACTAATTCCAAAGTTTAGTCTTCATTCGTACGTGTGTGTGTGTGTGTGTGTGTGTGTGTTTGTGTGGGTATGAGTATTAACGGATCTATCCGGACGCAATAATGCAATTAAGTTTGAATAAATTAAGATTTGAAATGAAATCGGTTGTGACTGAAAATGTCACGTATTACCTTACCATGAAGTTCGATGATTTCAATCAACATAAACACGGTGGGAAAACTGAAGGTGAACCGCGGCGATGATTGCCCAGCGAGATTGACCCGATAATAAGTACACAGATGAATGTATGTGAGTGTTTCCAGAGCATTACCAGTGCCAGTACCAGTATTAGGCATGACCCAACCCGACCAAAGCAGAGGATGATGACAGATTCGATCCCTTGAAAGGGGAATGACTTGCACTGCTCTTAGAAATTCCTAAGAACAAATTAACTAATTTACCCAGAGCCTCTCATAATAAATCAACACAATCTACAACTCAATGCCCGCTAAACAATGCAAATAAAAGCTATTGTACAGGCATTAACAATAGCAACAACAGCCACATCTATGCAGCTATACAGCTATACGGCTATGCGGCTATACTTGCCCCAACAACTGCGAGCACAGCAGCAAGTGTGTGTGTATATAGAGTACCAGTATCCGCTCCAGAGGCGCACAATATCAGGCTGATCGGGGAAGTTGTAAACTACATACATACATAAACATATTTACTTTTCCTTATTGGCAGTCATCTAATTGTCAGCGAGACTTTGACTGCGACTATTTAAGGGTTTTTGGGTTTTTTTTCGGTTTTTCGGTTTTTGGTGATGATTAAAAGCAAATAGCAACAAATGCGGGATTAATCATTAGCTAAACACAGTCGAACAGGCAAACAGGCAAACAGGCAAACAAACATCGTCACTGAGAGACTGGGACTGAAACTGAGACAACGACGACAGAAAAAAAGCTAATAGAAACCAACGGATCGATCGATCGGCACAAGCCATTGAGACCAGACGGAATGAATCTCCAGTGCGAAGCGAGCGTATCTTGTGGATACACGAGCGCGAATCTCTCGCCTGGCTGGCCAGTCCAGTCCAGTCCAGGCCCGACACTAGACGACACGACCCGACCCAGCCCGATCCCAGCCCCCCGCCGGCTAGCATTTGTATTTGCCTAATTTATTGTCGTTTGACGGAAGTCACACACTCAGACTCGGACACGCACGCATACCCCTGCAGTTTGGCTCTCGGGCTGGCCTGGCTCACACGCTCTTGAAGTTGGCTTAAACACACTGCCGTTCGCCGATCGGCGTCCGGCTGTCAGAAACAAAAAATATTCATTCTTGACTTTTGTGGGTCACACTCAGACTCAGACGCAGACCCTGCCGCTTTGCTGTCCGTCGCCGATCTTTGACTCAACATCGGGACAACAACAACAACAACAAAAAAAACCCCCAAAAATCTCTGTCCCAACGTCCGTCCGTGTGCATTTTAAGATAGATTTAATTTTCAGGTTTTTATTTATATACTAGCCGGCAAATTGCAGCGAACTTGAACTTCAGCAGCAGCAACAGCAGCAGCAGCTCATACTTAGTAACTGATATATGTGTACGGTATGCCTCATGGCGCCTCACGCTGACTGATATTGAGCCGAGACTTGTTGTTGCTATTCCACTGCCTGTCTGCTGCCTGCTGCCACTGTTGCTGTTGCTGTTGCTGCTGGCAGAAACAAGTTCAGAGCGATCACTGAAATCAGCTGGCGCGAGATCAAGACAAGCGTCTTTCATTCATACTGTTGCCAGAGCTGAGCTGTGAGCTGAGAGCTCAGAGCTGATGTGATTGTGGTTGGGTCTCGTGTTCGACAATCTTTCAAATTGTCATCGTCGTTTCGGCTTTGGCCACAGCTTTGGCAATGCAATTGTTGCATAATGCAACAACTCTTCGCATTTATCTATTAATGGAGATTTCTTTTTGATTTTTTTGCTTTTTTGGCTCTTTTGGATTTTTGGATGTTGACTCTATCTGTATGTGTGTGGTGTGTGTATGTCTCTCCATTGCACCAGAATAATTTGCGACGCTTTGTCTGCGGCTTAATTTATGGATGTTGCCATTGATATCGGTAATTTTTGCTGTCACGCTCAAGGCAAGGATATGTATGAGTCTATGCCTATGCCCATGCCGTGTTTCCTCTCTCAATATATACATACATATGTGTGTAGTGTAGGTATATTTAAATGTACAATATTACTGGTTTTATACGAACCTTTGAGGCGTTCGCTCGCCATGTCTCATCGCGGTTTGTTTTGATTGTGAAATCTTGAACCTATTTTTGACACCACAGTTGACATCAAAGCAAAAATGGTTAATGTGTTTATGCTGTTTGCTGCTCAGTATCTTGGCGGGGATTTGGAGTTTAGCTAGGGGCTTGCCAGTCAGACGTTAGTTGCCAGCCTGCCAGTTCATTGATCTTGGGCAGGTGCTTGTCTCTGTTCCTCGTAACTCATTAGAAATGTCCATTATTTTGGCAACAATTTGTGTTTGTTTCTCTCTGTTTCTATCCGATAAATGGGCTAAGATTTGGCATTTGATTTATAGCCGAACGCAACCGAAAGTGAACGAAGGAACGACTGACGGGCCATGATCGACTGTTAGTTGATGAGTAGTGAGTGTGAGTAGTGAGTGTGAGTGTTCTGGGGTGTGTCCATAGTCTGGATTAGGCCCGAACTGGATGCCAGGCCAGGCCAGGGTTTCTCGAGTGCGGAAATGCGGAAATACTCGCAGCAAGTGTGCAAAGACCAATAATCTTTGAGGAAGGTGAGCTTCAAAGCCTCACACCGAGAATAACGAGTTTGAGTCGTAAAGTGAGTGATTTCACTTGAACAGAATATGAAATCTGATAGCTGATAACTGATAGCTGAGATAGCTGCACAGCAGCATAGATTAATATGTGTGGCCTTGCCCCCGGCCGCCCATCTTCCGTGCTTTTAATATTCTAAACAAGGCCAAAGAAACCCGCTCTCAAGGCTGATGTTTTTCTAGAATCAACAACCAGTCAAGTTCTCCTGCTCCTGCTTCTACTCGTACTCGTACTCCTACTCGTACTCCTTCCCCCTTTTTCCTTTTCCTGGTGTTATTAAATCGAAGAACGTTCATTGAACCGAACATCGGTATTTCGGGCATCGTCATCGTCTGGCCTGCATCATTGTTTTGCTTATGTTTTGGTTGGTGCTGGTGTTGGGGCTGGGGCTGGTTCCTGCTACCTCCTGCCATTGAGGTAGGTCGCAGATCTTTGCCCCCGAATGCCGCGGTGAAGGTCAGGCAGGCAGGCAGGCAGGCGCACGCACGCACGCGAGCGAGCGAGCGATCTGCGATACGAACTGGAACTGTGGCAAAGGCAAACCAGTTGCACTTTAGCCGGCAGCTGCCCTGACGGCGGACGGCGACGGCGTTGCATGACTCTGCTGTAGCCGTAACTCACCTCACTCCACTGATCTAATTTATTGCAGAGCTGCTGCGATGTGCTGCCCTGGGAATGACCCTGTTGTTCTTCGGGTCGCTCATTCTGGTATCCGATCCGGTGCAGAGTATCCTGGATGTGGTGAGTTCACTAATCACTAATCAATATACAGCATGAATATCCTGATCCTAATCATCACGGTACGCAGCAATTGACCCTGAAGCCTGGCACCTTGCTCTACCGCTTGTGGCTCGATCCCCCCATCGATGTGTACATCAATGTCTACATGTTCAACTACACCAATGCGGAGGCCTTCATGGATGGCACGGCAGCCAAGCTGAAGATCGAAGAGGTCGGTCCGTATGTGTACCAGGAGGTGCTCACCAATCACAACATAACCCTGAACGAGGCCAACAACACGATATCCTATTCGCCGCGACGCGAGTACATCTTTGTGCGGGAGCGGTCCGTGGGCGATCCGAAGGTCGATCGCATTCGAGCGCCCAACATTCCCCTGATGGGAGTGACCACCATGGCCGCCAGCCTCTCGATGTTCGCCTCGCTCGGGCTTAGTGCCGTGGCCAAGCGCCTGAATGCGCAGCCCATACTGGAGATGACGGTCCACGAGTACATGTGGGGCTACGAAGATCATTTGGTCGAGCTGGCTGCCAAATTCGTTCCCAGTTGGATTAATTTCGAGAGTTTTGGCATCATGGAGAAGGTAAAATGTCCCCCATCACCCAGCCCCTTCCCCATTGCAATTTACTTACATTTCTGTTTTGTGTGTGTGCTTAGCTTTTCCGTGAGGGAAACGAGAGCAATGTTGTGAACATGTATCTGCCAGAGCTCAAGGATAAATACGGCGTCAAGTTGCCCGACTCTCCACGTGCCTACACGCTGGACAGCATCAATGGAGAGCGTGGATTCTCGCGCTGGGAGTACGATGAGCAGACCAAGTGAGTGATGCCCCCCCTCCCCACTATATGCATATAAAAATGAACTATAAATTTATACTCCTACTCGTACTCGTTTCTTGGCAGTGGCACGATGTGCAATCGCATCTGGGGAAGTCACGATGCCACCCTCTTCCCGCGGGACATGAACGAGCAGGACGCGTTCTATCTGTACCGACGCACCTTCTGCCGTCGGCTGCCCATGCGGTTCAATAGCACCCGGAGGTACAACGGCATCGATGCGTACGAGTTTGTGATGGCTGCGGATGTCTTTGACAGTGAGCTGGGCAATCCGAATTCCTCGTGCTTCTGCAAGAACAATCGCTGCCTCAAGAAGGGCGTCGGCAGTGTCTCGCCCTGCTACTACAGTAAGCACTAGCACTAATGGATAAAAGCTACAACTAACCCAACAACAACAAAAATTATAACTCTGTTCTATAGACCTTCCACTGGCCATCACCTTTCCACATTTCATGCACGGCGATCCTAGCCTGCTGGAACCATTCGAGGGTCTTAAACCGGACGAGTCCCGCTTCGGCTCTTCCTTCGTGGTGCAACCAGTAAGTCGCAGTGCCAGCAGCCACCATAGAGAACCTTTCTGCAACCATTTTGTCTCTCTTTCTTCCTTGCAGCAACTGGGAGCTCCCATGCAGGGCACCCATCTGCGACTGCAGGCCAATCAGGTGGTGGGCAAAGTGAACTTCAACAGCCTGATGGAACCCTTCGAGGACATGGTGCTGCCGCTGCTGTGGGTCGATCTCAACATCGACGTGCTCTCGTTCAGCCTGCGGATGCTCATTCACGGCATCAAGTGGGGCTTCCACCTGCTGCAGTGGACTGCCGCCCTGGGAATGCTGCTGGCCGGCGTTTACCAATTGTGCACGGCCCTATTGGTTTGCTGCTGGCCCTCGGCCAATCAGCAGCAGTTCCTCAAGGTGGAGCAGGCCGAGAAGGGAGGTCGCCCCGGCGGTCTGACACTCCGCAAATCCTCGGCTGTGGCGACGCTGCAGGTGGAGCAGGAGGAGCAGCATCTGCTGTCGGACGGCAGCAGTATTAAGCCCAAGCCCCTGCCAGCAGAGGCTTAGCCACAGGCGACAGGACTCAGAAGAAGCGGAAGAGTACGAGGAGGACGAGGGGATGTTCCAGGCGACGCTGAGACTTGGCGACGGAACGGATCCCCACTGTGATATTATGAGTTAAGATTCCGTGTAAATTATTTGTGCTCATTGGAAACAACTTAGGGAACATTCTATGCTTACGTAATAGTTAACGATAACGATAACGATAACGCTAGGGGTACAGTTACTTGTAGCGTATGCGATAAATACAGGTCGATAGCTATAGCTACAACGATTACTAGTTGATCGGTTGGCGGGCCAATCTAAAGTCAATGAGAGGCAATTGTATCTTCAATCCACTTCATGTAGAACGATGTGCGGGTGTACACATCGGGAAAGCCCTCCAGGGCACAGCCCGACCCGAACGAGGTGACCCCCACCAGTATCCAGGGTCCATTGTGGCTGAGGCGACACTGCAGTGGACCGCCGGAGTCGCCCACACAAGTGCCTCCCTCGCCGTTCAGCTTGCCGGCGCACAGATGGCCGCCATGGATGTTCACAAAGCTGCCGTAGGCATCTTTGCACCTGCAATTCAATTGATTGGCATCATCACAAGTCGGAGGAGGAACCTGGAGACCCTACAGCCACAACTCACCTGCCATTCTGGTGTAAAGGAACTTGCGTCTTCAGCAGCTGGCTGGACAAATCGCCACTGATATTGGCCTTGCCCCAGCCGGTGGCCACACAGTCAACGAAGGCCATCTCGCGCGGATCCAACTCCCCGTTCGGCTTGAGATATTTCTGCTCCACTGAGTCCCCGCCAGCAGGCCTTGGGTCCAGCTTCATCAGCTTGTCGTTGCGCCGTCGGGTGCGCTTCAGGCTGCGCGGGGAGGAGCGCTGCGCCAGAGCCTGCCGCATCCGACTGAGTATCTTCATGTTCATGAGCTCCCGCATGCTGGGCGAAGTCACATTCCGGTAGCGCCGGCGACTCTGCACGCTGCGCAGAAAGTTGTCTATCTTCTCGGGCACATCCTCCAGCTCCAGGTCCAGCTGCTGGCCAAGCACATCCTCGGCCGCTGCGGCGGACAGGGCCGCGTCAGCCTGCGACTCGGCCAGCATGAAGGGCAGACAAATGCGGCGAATGTTGGAGGCCCGGGCGATGTCTGCCGGCTTGGACAGCTTCATGAGCACCACGTCGTGCCGGAAGTTGTGGTAGCGCTGATGCATCACAATCTTCTCGACGGGTATGCGCTGCTCGTTGCCCGACTCCACGTCCCGATCGTGCTCCCCCAGCACCACGGTCCACAGCGGGGGAATGGGCAGGTTGAAGAGATCGCTGAGGAGCAGTCAGCGTCAGGATTAGGAGCTTCGAGCGGACGGCCTGCCTCCTGCATCGTACTTACTTGTGCACACAATGGGCGGCGGACAGTATCCAGTACTGATGGATGAGCACGGCTCCACACCAGTGCCCCAGGAAGCCCAGGGACGGATGCAGCAGCTCCAGCGATGCCTGCCAGGGGAACTGGCCCTCGTTTGTCGTCGCACCAGATATGATTCGAGGTCCTCGCCGCGACGACGCCGGACGACAGCCGCAGTCTGTGAGAGTGAGAAATGGAGAGCTAAAGCTTTTCCGTACACCGCACTGTGATGGCGGACCGGACTTACCCGTCTCGAACTGCCGGGAGCTGCTGGGAAACAGCAGCAGCAGCAAGCCCAGGGCCAGGGCGTTCGCCAGCTGATGCGGCGACGACTGTGATTGCTTCATCTCGTGGTCGCTCGCTGGCTGCTCCTCGGGCAGCTGCCTCAGCTGCTCATCGTGCGCATGACTGACCCTCAGCAGCCAGATGTGTCTTTGTCTTGTGCCTATCTGTATCCTGATGATGCTGCTGGTGTCGACTGTCCAGATGCTTTTCACTTTCACGCTCGCAGTCAAATGAGCTGAGATGAGCGGAGCAGAGGGGGTGGGGTGGTGGTTCAGGTTCAGGGGGTGCCACGAGAGGTGGACTACGACTCCAACTGCAACTCCGACTTCGCCTTCGACTGGCTTCTTTATTAGTCCGCACTCACGGCTTGGCCCAGACCTTTTTAATGGCTTAAATATAATAATTTAAGAGGTTTCCCAGCTTCGTTTTTTTTTTTTTGGCTTTTCTCTTCACGACTGCGCATTAATTAGCAGTTCGCAAGCTCAAGCTCGAGATGGGCGTCATCGACATCGCCAAATGGCACGCAGAAGCTCAAGGCAGAAGGCAGGAGAAGTAGAAGGCGCTGGCGAAGGGGAAGTGCCAGCAGCAGCTGGAACCAGAAGCTGCTCTCCACTCTCGGTTATATAATGGGCCCCAGCTAACTGTTGGTCGCCCTGCGGCTGCTCGATATTAACGGTTATTCGCGTCTACTTGTGCTGTCTCTGCTGCTGTGTGGCTCGGCCTCGGCCTCGGCTTGCAGCTTTTCGTTTTCGTTGTCGTTGTCGTTTTCGTTGAGCGCGTGCGCGACGGCCAGAGTTTTGTTGGCGGATTTCGTGTGGCTGTGGATGGGGCGGCTCGGCGCCTGCGAATATGTATGAATCGCTTGGGACGAGCGCCAAAATGCAACTGTGCTCTGCTCGGGTTTGCCAGCAAACATTTACCGTTTCGTTTACAGCGTCAGATGCTGCGCAGTCGACTGCGCAGCAGTGTTGCATGCCCCCGCCAGTTACAACAAAGGCGAACGAAGCCAACGAAAGTGAAAAAAACAAAAATAAAATAACGGCAGGCGGTGCAGATCGGAGAGGCAGAGGCAGAGGCAGAGGCAGCGACAGCCAACCACATAGACGATGGTTAGTGGCGGATTGAAAAGGGTAAGTTGGCCTGGCCACACAGTCGGAAATCATTCACAGTGGCAGATATATAACATACATATATACTATATGTTCCGTATAGCAAATATCTATTCAATGTGGAAGTGTGATAAGTATAATTGGTTTGTCATTCTGTCATATATATCTAGTATGCAATTTTATATATACATATCTGCTTAGGTATGCACAGAAAGCGCTCTGCATGATGTGCTAAATATTAATGAAATTTGAATTTAATATTCCCTAGAACAAGCTCAACGTTAGATAAGGGCACAGTCTTCTGGGACTTGGTGTGCATTTAACATTCGCAATGTTGTTTACCCGCGACTGGTGGGTCCAATTATATCTGAGGCTCATTTAAATGCGCACCGAGCGGCACATAGTTCAGAACCGTTGAGGTGCTCTGAACCAGATCTGTTTTGCTCGTACTCGCACCCGTATGAATGCCACCGAATGCCAATAAATGTCATTGTGGCATTTGAAGCACATTTTGTGTCCCCAGCTCGAGCATGGCTATGTGCGTCATTTAAGTGAGTGATTAGCCGGCGACTATTCAACGCCTGCTTCAATGTAAGATGTCAAGTGATTAGTTGAATCGCGATTAATATAAAATATGCGCATAATATGGCTCCCGGTCGACTGTGAATGATGCGGCGTGTGGCTGGCTGCCCAGCGACTGTGCGACTGCCTCACTGAGTGAGTGAGTGAGTGAGCGAGTGAGCGAGTGAGCGAGAATGAGTGGGGGAGCGAGTAGGCTGGCCAGAGCCAGGTGAGTGAGTGCGAGTTACTTTCGTTTTCATTACGCGATGAAGGCAGCAGCAGCAACAGCAGCAACAGCACCAGCAGCAGCAGCGACCGACTTGAATTCCGTGTTGATGCACAAACCCATAAGTCATGTTGCTTGTTGGTGCAACTGCCACAGCCACAGCCCCAGCAGAAAAACATACACAAAGCCAATGGGGAAGTTGTTAATGCAACATCGGCAACAACTGCAACAGCAACTGCAGCAGCGGGAAGTTTGTTTATGCAGCCGATTGATCATTTAAGCCAAGATGCTGACTGCCGAGTTGCTCTTGGCCAGCAGCCTGTCAATTTGTGGTGGTGGGGGCGGTGGGCGTTGGCATTTACCCAATACTGACTGTTGTTGTTGTTGTTCAATTAACAGGCGCCGTGTTGTACACGTACGTTGGGGTTGACGATGACGAACGAAGTTTTCTGCAGCCGCCGGATAATCAAATCAAAAAATCAAAAAAATCAGAAAAATCAGAAATCGCTTGCCCAATCCAACCCAAAAATGAAGACAGCTTCAAGAAAAGTTTCCACTCCCACTTCCCTTCCGAGCCCGTGTCTTGTGGGAACTTTCCAGCCAAACTGCGCAAAAAACAAAAACAAAAAAAATGGAAATATACAAACAGATTTAATTGAAATAAAATAAAATTTTACGCATGCCCCGGCGATGACAATCGACGGAAGCGTTGCGGGTCAGCCAGGCAACGGCCACGGCAAACGGGCAACGGGCAATGGCAATGCCAACGGACGGACAAATTAGTCAAGCCAGACGGAGTGGGCACGTAGATCGATCTCTGGGAGAAATCGAAGTTCGGGACCTTGAATGTTGCCGAGTGCTGAGCTCTGAGTGCTGAGTGCCTGCTGCATAGGCTGCAATTTCTCTACTGCCGCTGCTGGCCGCGCTGGCCACTTCTGATGTTATTCAATGGCAGTTGCATCATTGTGCAACAACATGTGGCCGGCGATCGGCGATCGGCAATCAGCTGCTGGCCCCCGCGCTGCTGGATGCTCTGCTGGAGTTCGAGAAACTCAACAATTAGACAAATGGTGGGATAGTTGGTGGGACAACTTCATAGCTGCGTCACAGCTGATCGATATCAGGCAGCATTTGCATGCCAGCACAGCAGCAGCAGCAACCACAATGTGGTGTGGTGTGGAGTATCTTAAAGATGCGCGCATTACATTACCAACGAACGTCAGTGGCAGTGGCAAACAGGCAACAGGCAACAGGCAATAGGCAACAGACAACGGGCAACGCTTTCCACCCGACTGACGATCAGATGAAAACGAAAGTGCCTTCGCCTGCCTCAAGTGGCTGCCGCAGCTGCTGTGCTCTGTTGCATACTTGAGTCGCACGTTTCCAAGCTGCTGATGCTGCCCCCTTCGGATGCTGCTCAAATTTATCCACTGTTGCTGCTGCCTCTACTGCTGCTGCTGCTGCTGCTGCTGCTGTTGCCGTTTCCTGTATCTCCAAGTTTATGCTTGCCGCTGTTTGCCACTGACAGTGGCAATGGCAATGGCATGCCACATGCCACATGCCACCTAACCAATCCGCCCCAGCAGTGCCGTGCCAAGTGTTTTGCTTGGCTTTGTCAAACAAAAAGAGACTCATGCCTCACTCGTGGCAATATTGCCCTGGCAATGCTCTTACATACGTAAGCCCGTACTCGCAATTAATTGTTACCTAATGTTAGGCAATAGCCGGAGCATCGCCATTGCGTGACATAAGTGTGATTATAATTGTTAGCTGGAGAAAACCTCTTAAGCCTAATGTTCTTGCCTGATGACAGGCAAAGGGTTAATGCACACCTGTCATGCGGGTCTGGAAACGAATATTCCACAATGATTTCTTGTGGGGGGATTCCACAGCCCAAGCTGAGACTCATCCAAAGAGCATTGTGGATTCGACAATCAGCAAATAAAATATCTAGTATATGCATCCTTGGTGTTTGCTTTGCTTGGCATTTGCGCGTCTTTGATTGCAAGCAACGCAAACAATTAGCCGCTGTGAATGCGGTAAATTTTGAATTTTTATGTACATATTGGTTTGGCTCTGGAGTGGGGTCGTGCGGAGTTTTCACAGCGGAATTCGGGGACCAGCGATCAACAGGTGTGGGAAGCCCCACAAAACACTAATCACAGATGAGCTCCCAGCTCCCATTTGGACGGCCTTTTTTCAGCTTTCCTCGTCGTCGCAGTGGGCCAGCCAGACAATGGCTAGCATTCGATTCGGCTTCGACTTTCCACCAGCCACCACCACACAGTTCCACACAGTTTGGGCTAACAAGAGCAAGGGCCCATTGTGTAGTGTATCATCGGCTGCAGACGACGACTTTTGGCCATTCCGATCGGCCCAAGTCAAAGCTTTGCTCCATGCAGCGCCCACCCAAGACGTCCCCTAATAGCGAGCGTCTCACCTGCTGCCGCTGCCGCTGCCCCAGCCGCTTCTTTGGCTTTTTTTTTCTGTTGTTGTTGTTTTATTAATAGCAATTAGTTGGCTTGAATGCTGCTGGCGGAAAAAACAAAACAAAACAAACAAACCGAAAAAAAAAAATTATATTGTCTGGAAGTTGCGGTTTCTTGTTTGTTGGCTTTTCTGTTGGTTTATCTGTGTGTTTGTTGTTGTTGTTGCTGTTTCGTTTTCTTCTGGCGGTTGTTTTATGTGGCGCAAAATTTGTGGTTTCCATGTGCCGCTGCCGCTGCCACTGCCGCTGATGCTGATGCGAAACTGTTGCAAGTGGCAACACAACTGCCTACATGCGAGTGGGGAGGTATGTACATACATATATGCTTGTCAAGTTGCAAATTATTTGGCTGAACATTTAAATGCCGCGAACTCATTTGAACCCGTCAAATGCAGTGCACCAAACCGGTGCGGCGCGGCGCTCTCTTTCCCCATCTCCCTCCCACCCAAAGAGATTGTCTAATCAAAGTGAAGAAAATATTAAATACCAAAATTATGTCATGAATCTTTGTTTGCTGTTTGCTGTTTGTTGTTGGAGGTGCTGCTGCCGCTGCCGCTGTCTGTCGTGGATTGTGCCGCAGTGCAGGCAGGCAGGCAGGCAGGCAGTCGCAGATAGAGATGTGGCACAGTCCAGAGTCAGATAAACGTAATTACCTAATGCTCGTATAAATAAGAGTAGAAAGATGCAGGCCGCGAAGAAAAGTAAATATATGTAATAGCTAAGCAGAAGCCTCATAGGCTGATGAGGCTGCTGTCTCCCCAGTTCGGGGCACAATTGCTAATTGCACTTTGGATGGATGGGGGGCAGCTGCAGCCGAACCCGAGGCCGAGGCCTGTCAGATGCCAAGGCAATTGAATGAAATTTGAATTTCCAATTAGGGCTGCCTACCCTCAGCCTCAGACCCCACCCCACCCACCAGCAGCAGCTGCTGCTGCTGTGGATAATGGCTGTGGATAATGCTCTCTCCGTTGACGTCTTCATTTCACATTGATAAGAAAAACCCCCTTCGCCTTATCAGGGATCAGTCGTGGAGCTCTTTTTTTTGTTTTGGCAAACGTTTCCTGCTATCTGACAAACATTTTGCGGTGAAAGTGACGCAGTCGCAGATACAAATGCGGCAATTGCCTTGAAAAACAAGATACTCATTGTTGTTTATACAAATTTGTTGGCAATGCTTGGCCGGGGGCATGTCATAACCTTAGCCTAGACCTCACACATTACCAGAGGCAGCACCAGCACCCAGCACCCATCCCATCCCCCATTCCATCACATCGCATCCTTTCCCCTCGTATCGCTTACACGAGGTCGTCGAAGATATAAATTACCAGTCAAGTGGCCTGTTCTGGCCTGGCCTACCAACATTTTTGGGCCACTGCCTACTGAGTGCCGACTGGCACTCTGCTGACTGCTGACTGGTGGCTTTTTCATGGCTTCCGTCGCCAGTTGCCACTGCCACTGCCGTTGCCGTTGCCGTTGCCAAAATCAATGAAATTTTCAGCTT